AACACGCGACCTCTTGCATCAACATAATAGAAAGGGAAAGGTTGTCAAAATCAAGACAAGAAGGTACAAGAGGCTAGTTTTGGGGTTCGTTTTTTGCACCGGAAAGCCAAGAGGCAACTGGTGGGAAAAAAGGAGAAGAGGGTAGAATGCTCTGTTGACATCCCCATTGGATGAAACAGTGTGTGTGCAACAGGTGAACATCGTACAAAAACAAGTGGCAGTAACATGTCACTCTTTTTTTGGCGCTGAAGGCGGTGAAGTGCCAGCTAAGACCTGCTGCTTCGGAGTCTAACCACGGATGATTGGAAAAGCACATGTGAGAGGAATCTGAGAAGGCTACCGTGGTGTATAGGTCGCCAATAGAATATCCTAATTTGCCACTTCTTAAGTGGCAGTTGCACTAGGCGATCTCGTCGAGTAGTGGATAATGCCCGTCTCAGGACCGTGCATAGACAGCTAGCCGCGGATCGATTCCCCCCGGGTACGGGGCCGCGATCGTGACGTGGTAGACGAGTAAGTCTCAATACCCCGCGACCCGCCGAAAGGCACAGGGCACCGGTCAAAAAAATTAATTGGCAGTTGCACTGATTTTCACACCGTTTGCTGGGCCGCTGACAATAGCAGTACAGTTTCAATGTGCATGTTTTTGTTAGTTTTTGATGACACGGAGGGACTTCCCCCTGTGTCAAAGGCAAATCTGGTTGTTCTTGTGTGGGTGTTGTTTGGGCTCTGGCCCCTTCCCTTGTTTGCTTCGCTGTTGTTTCTTGTGGGCGAAACGCAAATCGGCCGGGGGATTTGCGTGTCGTTGGTGCTGGTGGCTTTTTTGTTCTGAGTTTTAGTTCACGATTTTGCATTATGGAACCAAGGCGTTTCATGATAAATTTTCTAATTTATTTACTCGCTTATCCCAATGTTAGGACCGAGCCTCAGAGCGATATCGGCCGCAACAGAGGGAAAAAAAAGCTGAAGGCGATGAAGTACCATGCATGCAATTTCAAGTGAACCTGTGGCTTGTATGGAGGGCGGGTCCCTTTTTACCTTGTGATTTGTCGCGCCCACCATCCACCCCTACAACCACAAGCTCCTCTTCGAGATGTGCCACTCCCACAGCCAAGAGGGCTGAATGATCCCCCTTGACATCCTCATTGGATAAAACAGTGCTTGCGCCTGCAGTTGCAACAGGTGAACGTCGTTTAAAAATAAATGAGCGGGCTTTGTATCTCTGGGCAGACTACAAGATATTGATATATGTGTGATAGAAACAATCGACATGATATTGTGATTTTGTCATGAACTTACTGAAGTTGTATCATCCCAACATTTAGATAGATAGATAGGTTAGATTAGATTAGATTAGATTCGATTTGATTGGATTGGATTTGATTGGATTGAATTGGATTGGATTAGATTGGATTGGATTGGATTAGATTAGATTAGGATAGATAGATAGATAGACAGACAGACAGACAGACAACCAGCCAGCCAGCCAGACAGACAGACAGACAGACACACAGATACACAGATAGATAGATAAATAGATAGATAGATAGATAGGTAGATAGATAGATAGATAGATCGATAGATAGATAGATAGAGCTTAGTAGGCGGATGGGCCTCTTTATTTGGGACCCTCTGTCAAGCATACCTAGCTCTCCAGGACTATTTATACTTCATTCAAGACTATTTATAAATCATTTAAGACTAGATTAACTCATATGATATGAAATATATGATATGAACCATGTCAACTAGGGCCAATCTGCTTCACTGCCCCTTTTCCAAGGACAAGGGCTTCTGGAACACCTGGGTTTGTGCAAATATCAAACTATCATTCTACACTTTTTGGGTTGTTTTTCAATCGATCCCGAATATATTTGACAGAATTGCAATTTCTGAGCAGCTCTTTAGGGTTAAGATGAAAGCGTTGCGCGCATCACAAAACATAGCACTGCACGGACAACATTGACAACATCCAATTTTGTTTTGAGCATTTTAAACACATCGTGTTGACATGCCGCACACGCTAAATGAGACATAGCGCCCTAACGTGTCCATTGTTGCACACGGCATCGTGCAGAACGCAAAAGCACATTGCAGGTTTCAAGGCTGTGAGCCCGAACATGTGACTTTTTTCAAGACATGAAGGCAACCATTACCAAATCAATCTGTGCAACCCGCGTTGCGAACCACAGCTTCTCACCAACCACATGGTGAATCCCAGCCATATCACACATTCAGGTTTCATTTGAAGCAAGAGCAGGAAATGCACTTTGCGCTTTTCTACATTTTCTCGATGCGCGCTTCCACCATACCATGCTGCACTTCCAACCTCTTCCACACACAGCAGTCACACATCGCAAGCGGCCATGCTCAACATGCTCTACAATGAATAGTAGAATAAAATGAAATATATAAAGAGGAATTTTCGGATTTAAATAGAGCTTGTCATGTGTGATTTACTCAGTAATTTACTCCCATCCTGTTGTTGATTTCACTTATTTGGCTCAAGTTGCAAAACGTTGCGGCTTGCGCTATCGCTGCATTGGTGTGTGCTTCTATGTCTACACTACACGCTATGAAATATGTTTCCTTCATAGGCCCTACGGTTTTCAATGAGCGCTGCGGCCGCAAAATTTCAAACGGTATTTGGTGTAGTCCGAATCCCACATACAGAGCCTCAGCATTTTGAAATGGTAGAACGGTGACTGGGACCAGCCCACAACCCACTGTCTTTAGATGATGGAACACAACTATCACTCTAAGACTAGCCTTTTTGTGTACCTGAGGCATATGCGTTTCATTACACACGAGCGTTTTCGGGCCGGTTTCGCAGAGCTTTCCTGAGACATATTTTGGCTACCGCCAGCAGGCGGCCATCCCAACAAATCCACCAAATCCAACCGGGTTTCGGGTTTCGCGGAAGATTTCCTAGGCCTACCCGAAGTCACTGGCGCCCAGGAATGTATAAATAGCTCAGCAAGGTTTTTTTTTCGGATTTATAAATAGTCCGGACGATTTTTTTCGGATTTATAAATAGTCCGGAGGGTTCTTTTTCGGATTTAGAAATAGTCCCAAAGATTTTTGCCTCTTTAATTCGCACTTTTTGGCGTTTTGGCCGAAAAGAGAGCCTGAACGGGTCTGTTTTTTTTTGGCAACGGACTATTCCCCCACTGGACCCGGCCAATCCGGCATGTCCTGCAGGATGGCCGCGTGTCCGCAAAGTCAAAGGAGGAAATTGGCGTATTTTTCAGAACATACAGCATGGGCAGGGGTACACTGCACGTCTTCCGGGTGAAGGCAAAAGTGTGTTGAGCAAGCGAGAGCGCAACGTATTCGATATCCATTATGGACTGATGAAAGCACCTCCTTTGAAGCAGATCTCAGGTTGGGCTTTTGGATTCGGATCTGTCTGTCTATCGGTCTGAAGGTCTGTCGGTCTGTCTGTCTGTCTGTCTGTCTGTTCGGAAAAGAGGTTAAGCATGTCGTATGACATGCTCTTACTAGAAACGGTTTGGAACCGTTCCGAGCCGTTTATACCTTCTGCATATTAGGTCGTGTTAAAAATAACCCCAAACCGCTCCGAACCGTTCCGAGCTATTTATAAAAACCATTCACAAATAGCTTTGAACTGCTCCAAACCGTTCCAAGCTACTCATACCACCAAAACCCTAATTAGTCCCAATTAGTCCCAATTAGTCCCAATTAGTCCTGAATAGTCTTGACAGTATAAATAGTTTTGAACCGCTCCGAACCGTCCCGCGCTATTTATAAACAAGCTTTTGTAAATAGCCTGAAACCGCTCCAAACCGCTTGGAACTATTTCAAAACAGCTAGAATTGATGCTGGGTAGAAACCGCTTGCAACCGCTTGAAGCCGTTTTTAAACAATGGTTTTTTTCAAAGAAAATGCAATGATTTTTTCTTTGATCTTTGAGTGATATTTCTTATATTTGTTTGTTTCACAAAACACAGTTATTTTACCAATGATCAAAATTATACAATATGAGATGACAGATTCAAACATACACATATTCATAACATATATAAAAATATATTTATATTGTGAGAACTCAAAACCAAGCAGTGAGATCAGTTTGCAACAGTGGTTTAAATACTAGTGCAAAACTCTTCAGTTCGGGATTGCCACTGAAGTAGTTTATACTTTTGGCTGCCCCATCAGCAAGAGCTGTGTGGGGGAAATAAGGGCAAATACTCCACGGCAGAGAGCTTGGAAAAAACATTTTTCTATGTGCGGGCTGTTCCGCTGCTCTATTCACTGTCCCTCAGGTTTGGCAACCCCCTTCCTGGATCTGCCTCTTTCTGTGAGGATAGAGTGCATTTTTTATAAATAGCCCCAATAAATTTATTATAAATAATCCCAAGGCCTATCTGTGTCCTCACAGTTAAAGAGGCCGATTCACCTCCTAAGATAGAGCGTATATAGAGTTACTTGCAATTGCAACAGTTGATTGAACATAGAATTTGCAAGCATCGTGTGGCGTGCATAATGATATGTATATATATATATATATGCAACCACACCTAACGATCTAAGCAAAAAAGATCGTTGAAATGTTGCAACTAAAGAAGTAGAAACATGTCGTGTTGTCATTTTTATGTTGCAGAGCCTTGTCAGCCGGTTCTTTTCAACAATTTGAGACACAGGGGAATAGAGAGACAAATTGGGTAGCGCCAACCACAAATGATGATGTTTTTTGTTTTGGGCCGAAACCAGTTTTATTGGTGGTTTGGCAATGCAACCTGGCATTCTCGCTCAACAATAATGCTCAGTTATCATTGATGATGGTAGTTTTCGTGACTTAAAATTGTTCGGACTTAAACCCAAAGTACCAAATGCAAAAATTCATACATTCGAATGTTACTTGCTTGCCCGGCGGGAACAAAACAGTACTGTATCCATGACGCCCCAAAAGTGTGGAAACATGTGAAAACAAACCAGCGGTGTCAACCCTGTGCTGGTTTTCAAACAACATTTCGTTTTGAAACTCGCGCTGCTGGCGCTGAGCAGGACCAGTTTTGGATCAGGAAATGGTTCAGTCATTTGACTCTTCAACTTGCAGCATGGACGCTGCCAATGTCTTTAACTGCAGGACTGATGATAGGTCAATGGCACCGGAGGCGGCATCACAACATATTGAAATGATTTGGAATGCATGATTGAAATTGAACCATTGTCAGTGCCTGCTTTTTGTGTCAGGAAAGTGTGCCATGTGAAGATTTTGCCACATGTGGCGTCGTGAAAATCTTAATGCATTTGTATAGCTGTGATCCAGACGTGGTGTTCAGCTGGCTGTTTCCAATTCAGAGTCAAACACGGACAAAATCATTGAAATTTGGTGCGTCATGGAAATGGATTCAGTTTTTTGTGGAATGCTGAGGCCCAGTTCCAAAATCGAAGGTTCCCAAAAAATGCCAAACAACAGGCGCGGGAGAAATAGTTTGGCGGCAAGGAATCATTTTTACGAAAATTCAAGGTTGCACGATGGTACACAACAAATCCGTTTTCAGTGGACGCAACGCAGCGATCCAAAACGTGTTTTTTTGGCACCGAACCATTGCAGGATTCCTACTTCGTGGTCGAAGACATGGGTGTCACCTTTGGTGTCCGCTTGGGAGGCGTTGATAGGGTGGCCTTATACGGTCACATGCTCAGAAGCAGAAATTGTTCGTACATATTTCCGTTTCTGTGGCAACCGAAGATCTGGCATGTGCTGAAACTTTATGGCAAAGGAGTGGCCGATGGTCATGGAGAGTGCGGAGAGCTCTGCGCTGCTTTCATACGCTTGGTCCAAAGCTGGCTTGGATGCCGTGAAACTCGGGGATATAAAGAAAAAATAAAAAAATCAGCCATCAAACAGCAAACAAATTCAGATCCATCACTGCCTTTATGTTCAGGTCGATATCTCCCAACACAGCTTGCGCAATCGAGACATTTCGCAGAAGGCATCGAGCTGCAACGACAAGTGCGCATTTTGGGCCATCAACAAAGCATTTGCGACATGAAAAACGATTGAGATTTGCAGAAGGGGACATTTATTGAAATAACGGGTTTGTTCTAAGAAATGCTCAGATTTTGTGACTTCAATTGGATGCAGTGGTGTGTGCCAGCTTTCTCAGGGCAAAGAGGAGACCAAAAGCAGGGAACACGAAACAACAAACGAAAATAAAGTAAAAACTATGGACACCCTTGTGCCTTGTAGTCGCATGTTGTGACTCCCATCCTTCCTCATTTTTTGTTTGTCAAAACAATACTCTCTCCATCCAGGTGAACGCTGTTACCCCGTTCTCCGAACTCGGCCCTTGCGCTTCTTCTGTTTCCTGGGAACCGTCCCAGCAAACTTCCACAGAAACTGCCCTTTCTTCAGGTCTCCGTTCTCTGCGAAAATCAAATTCAATAGCTAGATTTTATATACATGATTTTACATTTTTTTGCTGTATGGACCAACATGTATATTTGCATTTTTGGTTGTCTTGAATTTATGGAGGGTTTGTTGTTCAACGGAAATGAAGTTCAAATGAGTTTGGACATATGAAATGTACAATCTACAGCAAGAGTGGAGAAACAATGTGAATGGCGCGTACTGTGGTATTTCCACACTACCAGGTTTAGATTCAGAGTTTCTGTTTTTTTTCTTGCAGATTGTAAGCAAACATTGCAACGACAATATGGTAATATGGCCTAATATCCCAGGTTTTTTGTTCCTTGGGTGATATTGTGAAATCATGGATTAGGGAAAAGTTGCCCAGGCCACAGTGGGGATAAGTCGGATAAGTGTTTAGTTCTTCGCAAAGGTGGACCATGTGGACCCCCCTGCACAGTTGTCGCTAGTTGTCCTCAGGGACTCAATCCGAGGCAGATTGGATGCAGCTATGCTGGAGGCGTTCCTCCAAACTGAGCTGCTGCAGCAATCTTCAGGCATGGTAATTGTGTGGTCCTACAGATAGGACTCCTAGCAGGTCCTAGTACCCTTGTCTTCAGAGGAAAGCACTTTGGTATCATGCTTGGGCAAGGGAAAGGTTGCGTTTTCAGGGAGGGGTTGGACATGCTAATTTTTGCCATACACAGCTCATGGGTTTAAAAATTGATTGCTTGGTTTGGCAAATTTTCTAAAATTCGTTTGTGTTGTCGACTTCGCTTGGAGGTCTACTACTGTGGGCTTCTGGCGCCTGTGTTACAGCTGCAGCAGCTGGGCCCTGAGGGTGACGTCAAGACAAGCAGCCTCAGCGATGTTGCCGTTTTTGCATTTCTTTTGTCTATTTGTCTATTTTTCCATTTCATAAGGTCTCACCAACGAGCATTGTGGTGGCAAACTGTGGGGATTGCAGATGTGTATTAAGCCCAGATTACTTCGAGACTTACAGTGTTTCCATCTCTGAGTTTTGAATTTTTCTATTTGGTTTCTTGCAGAATCTGCTTCGGAACACCGCGTTGAAGGTTTTGGAAGAGCAGGGCGCAGCCCAGGAGCTTTCCTCAGACCACAATGTGCAGAACGCGACGCCAGAGGCGCTGAGTCAAGTCTTGTCTGCGTCGAGTAGATTTGGCTGAGTGACATTGCAATGGGGATGTTCATTCCAGTCTGCAGGAATTGCGACGGGTGTTGGCAGCGGGTGGTGCCCACCATAGCCTTGAGTTGCATTCATGCCTTGGGGTCTCTTACAATGTGGTTTCTGTGTTGGCTTCTTGACGGTTCACCTTTGCAGAATTTGACGTGCAGGTATACTAGGTACGGATGAGATAGGAGTTGTCGGAGGGTCCAGTTTTTTTGATTTCCCATCTCATGAGTAAAGTATTGTTTTTGCCCTTTGAAGGTGCCAAACTCCTATCTCATGTGGTTCTAGTAGTCATTTGAAGGATACCTGCATCAAGTTTTTACATTCCCACGGTTTATGGTTTTTAATGCTACAGGCTACAGCTTGGACACATGAGATAGGACTTAGGGCTGATTTGGGGTATGTTCACATAACCCATGTGTTGGGACTGTAGCATCTATATCCCATGAAGAATTCCCATCTCATGGGTTTCATCCTGAGCCATTTGGCAATATGGTATAAATTGCTACTGAACGTAACTTTTTTCATTTTCTCGTTGTTTCTCTACTGTTGTTAGCTTTAATAACGGGCAGCGGCACGGCTCGCGGAGAACGGACGGCCACGTGTCTCCCTGTTTTTATCTCTAACGGGAAGCGACCGGCTCGCGGAGAACGGACGGCCGCGTGTCTCCCTGTTGTTGCCTGTAACCGGTCTCGCTGTGCACCTCCGGATTTTCCCACATGGCCTCCGGTAGCTTCCCGTTAAAAATAAGAATGGGGAGTGGGAGCCAGGATGCCCTTCCCCGTGTAAAAGCAGATGAGATAGGACTTGTGGGGATTTGACGGTTTGACCAGAGAAATCTAATGGCACATGGGTGCGGCAAAGGAAAAATAGCGACCTCCAAAAGCAGATGAGATAGGACTTGTGGAGACTTGACGATTTGACCTGTGAAATCTAATGGCACATGGGCGCGGCAAGGGAAAAATAGCGACCGCAAAAAGCAGATGAGATAGGACTTGTGGGGATTTGACGTTTCGACCTTGGAAATCTAATGCCACATGGGTGCGGCAAGGGAAAAATAGCGACCACTAAAAGCAGATGAGATAGGACTTGTGGGGATTTGGCCTGGGAAATCTAATGGCACGTGGGTGCGGCAAGGGAAAAATAGCGACCACTAAATTTTAAAAGAAAATGAAAAAGGACTTGTGGGGATTAGATCTCTAAAGTAGTCAGGCAATGTAACCGGTCTCGCCGTGCACCTCCGGAGAAACAGAGGGAGCGGGCGGCAAGGCACCAAGACCATCTGTCAAGGATGCCCCGCGTTTCGCTGGAAGATCTCCCCAAATCCTGGCAGTCAGAGCAGGGGCCAGACTCTGAAGCCTGGGTTCTTGAAAGAGAGAGATGAGAAGAAGTCTCGCCGTAGACGGGAGAAGTGGCTGGCAAGAAAAAATAGAGTGGCGATCCGCCGGAAGTCGGAACTTCCCTTTCCCACAAGCCTCCGGGAGCTCTCGTCTCAGATAATAAAGGCGCGCCAAATACCCTTCCCCGTGTAAAAGCAAATGAGATAGGACTTGTGGGGATTTGGCCTGGGAAATCTAATGGCACATGGGTGCGGCCACGGAAAAAAAATAGCGACCACTAAAAGTAGATGAAATAGGGCTTGTGGAGATTTGACGATTTGACTTGGGAAATCTAATGGCTCATGGGTGCGGCAAGGGAAAAATAGCGACCACTAAAAGCGGATGAGATGGGATTTGTGGAGATTGGACGATTTGACTTGGGAAATCTGATGGCACATGGGAAGGGAAAAATAGCGACCACTAAAAGCAGATGAGATAGGACTTGTGGAGATTTGACGATTTGACCTGGGAAATCTAATGGCTCATGGGTGCGGGAAGGGAAAAAATGGTGACCACTAAAAGCGGATGAGATAGGATTTCTGGAGATTTGACGATTTGAGCTGGGAAATCTATGGCGCCCGTTGTGTCTCACCGGGGAGGCGCTTGGAACTGCTCGCCCCCACAGCTTCACTGCTCAGCACGGTCTGGACAATCAGCAGTTGCAAACGCTTCCCCGGGGAGACACAACGGAGAGACACAACGGGAGACACAGCAGGAAAATGATGTAAAATCAGAAAACGGTGAATGAATAGCGACCACTAAAATCAGATGAGATAGGACTTGTGACTTGTGGGGCTTTTGACGATTTAAAGATCTGGGAAATCTAATGGCACATGGGTGCGGCAAGGGAAAAATAGCGACCACTGAAAGCAGATGAGAAAGGACTTGTGGAGATTTGACGATTTGACTTGGGAAATCCAATGGCACATGAGAAGGGAAAAATAGCGACCACTAAAACCAGATGAGATAGGATTTCTAGAGATTTGACGATTTGAGCTGGGAAATGCAATGGCACCCGTTGTGTCTCACCGGGGAGGCGCTTGGAACTGCTCGCCCCCACAGCTTCACTGCTCAGAACGGTCTGGACGGTGAGCAGTTGCAATTGCCGCCCCGGGGAGACACAACGGAGAGACACAACGGGAAGACACAACAGGAAAATGATGCAAAATGAGAAAAAGCTGAATAGCGACCACAGCAAAGCAGATGAGATAGGACTTGTGGGGGTTTGACGATTTGACTTGGGAAATCTAATGGCACACGGGTGCGGCAAGGGAAAAATAACGACGACTAAAAGCAGATGAGATAGGATTTCCTGGGGATTTGACGCTTTGATCTGGGAAATGCAATGGCACCCATTGTGTCTCTCCATTGTGCCTCTCCGGGGAGGCGCCTGGAACCGCTCGCCCCCACAGCTTCACTGCTCAGAACGGTGTGGACGGTGAGCAGTTGCAATTGCCGCCCCGGGGAGACACAACGGACAGACACAACGGGAGACACAACGGGAAGACACAACAGGAAAATGATGCAAAATGAGAAAAAGCTGAATAGCGACCACTAAAAGCAGATGAGATAGGACTTGTGGGGGTTTGACGATTTGACTTGGGAAATCTAATGGCACATGGGAAGGGAAAAATAGCGACCATTAAAAGCAGATGAGATAGGATTTCTGGAGATTTGACGATTTGAGCTGAGAAATCTATCCGTGTGAATCAAATGCTGGGTCTATTTGCTGACATTTGCGGTAAACCTTTTTTTTTGACGTCCGTATGCATTATTTGACGTCCGTAGTCAAAATTTGGCAACATTTGCGGGAACCATAATTTTACCGTAAAATGTGGTGAGCATGAGCGAAAAGTAACAGGGGCTGATATAAGATGAGGGGTCAACCCTGAAGACATCACGGTTCATCACGTTTTGTCACGGTATTTTCGACAAATGTCATAATTTTAAGTGGCAAAAAGATGATTCGTCACGATTTGTCACGATTTTGAACTACATATGGCCATGATCAACTCGCATGCACATCTTCGAAACAAAGGATGTCTGCGTTTTTTCATCAATTTCCGACAAAATCCGGTGGATTTCCGACAGATTCCGACAAATGTCACCAAAATGAAGCGTTAACGTAGATGTAGTCGTATTTTGACTACATTGCTACTTTTGATCTATATGCCGACATCGATTCTCAGGGTATGGCACCCGTTGTGTCTCACCAGGGAGGCGCTTGGAACTGCTCGCCCCCACAGCTTCACTGCTCAGAACGGTCTGGATGGTGAGCAGTTGCAAACGCGTCCCCGGGGAGACACAACGGACAGACACAACGGGAAGACACAACAGGAAAATGATGTAAAATGAGAAAAGCTGAGTAGCGACCACTACAAAGCAGATGAGATAGGACTTGTGGGGGTTTAACGATTTGGCTTGGGAAATCTAATGGCACATGGGTGCGGCAAGGGAAAAATAGCGACCACCAAAAGCAGATGAGATAGGATTTCTGGAGATTTGACGATTTGACCTGGGAAATGCAATGGCACCCATTGTGTCTCTCCATTGTGCCTCTCCGGGGAGGCGCCTGGAACCGCTCGCCCCCACAGCTTCACTGCTCAGAACGGTGTGGACGGTGAGCAGTTGCAATTGCCGCCCCGGGGAGACACAACGGACAGACACAACGGGAGACACAACAGGAAAATGATGTAAAATGAGAAAAAGCTGAATAGCGACCACTAAAAGCAGATGAGATAGGACTTGTGGAGATTTGACGATTTGACTTGGGAAATCCAATGGCGCATGGGAAGGGAAAAATAGCGACCATTAAAAGCAGATGAGATAGGTGTGGAGATTTGACGATTTGAGCTGGGAAATCAATGGCACCCGTTATGTCTCACCGGGGAGGTGCTTGGAACTGCTCGCCTCCACAGCTTCACTGCTCAGAACGGTCTGGACGGTGAGCAGTTGCAATTGCCGCCCCGGGGAGACACAACGGAGAGACACAACGGGAGACACAACAGGAACATGATGCAAAATGAGAAAAAGCTGAATAGCGACCACTACAAAGCAGATGAGATAGGACTTGTGGGGGTTTGACGATTTGACTTGGGAAATCTAATGGCACATGGGTGCGGCAAGGGAAAAATAGCGACCACTAAAAGCAGATGAGATAGGATTTGCGGAGATTTGACGATTTGACCTGGGAAATCTAATGGCACACGGGTGCGGCAAGGGAAAAATAGCGACCACGAAAAGCAGATGAGATAGGACTTGTGGGGATTTGAGCTGGGAAATCGAGCGGCGCATGGGTGCGGCAAGGGAAAAATAGCGACCAATAAAAGCAGATGAGATAGGATTTGTGGAGATTTGACGATTTGAGGTGGGAAATCTATTGCACCCGTTGTGTCTCACCGGGGAGGCGCTTGGAACTGCTCGCCCCCACAGCTTCACTGCTCAGAACGGTCTGGACGGTGAGCAGTTGCAATTGCCGCCCCGGGGAGACACAACGGAGAGACACAACGCAAAACACAACAGGAAAATGATGTAAAATGAGAAAAATTGAATAGCGACCACTAAAAGAAGATGAGATAGAACTTGTGGGGATTTGACGATTTGACTTGAGAAATCCAATGGCACATGGGTGCGGCAAGGGAAAAATAGCGACCACTAAAAGCAGATGAGATAGGACTTGTGGGGATTTGACCTGGGAAATCGAGCGGCGCATGTTGCGGAGGGAAAAATAACGACGACTAAAAGCAGATGAGATAGGACTTGTGAAGATTTGACCTCGAAAGTCTAGCTGGCACATGGGCGCAGCAAGGGAAAACTATTGATCACTAAAAGCAAGTGAGGTAGGACTTGTGGGGATTTGACGATTTGACCTCGGAAATCTAATGGCACATCGGTGCAGCAAGGGAAAAATAGTGACCACTAAAAGCAGGTGAGGTAGGACTTGTGGAGATTTGACCTGGGAAATCTAGTGGTGCATGGGTGCGGCAAGGGAAAAATAACGACAAGCAGATGAGATATCAGATAGGACTTCTGGGGATTTGACCTCGAAAGTCTAACTGGCACAGGGGTGCAGCAAGGGAAAGCTATTGACCACTAAAAGCAGATGAGATAGGACTTGTGGGGGTTTTGACGATTTGACCTGACGATTTGACCTGGGAAATCTAATGGCACATGGGTGCGGCAAGGGAAAAACCTTGACCACTAAAAGCAGGTGAGATAGGACTTGTGGGGGTTGACCCGGAAATCTAATGGCACATGGGTGTAGCTAGGCAAAAAGATGGGCCACTGAACGCATGTGAGATAGGACTTGTTTTTTCTAGAACCATTGTAATTTCCTATCTCATCAGCCTTTGCTGCTGCCACAAAACATGAAGTCCCGATCATTTATCAAGGTGTTTTTTCAGACTTGCATTCAGGTCTCAGAGCGGGTTCAGCGCACATGAGTTGGGAGTTTTGGCAAATCCCAGGTACCAAAACTCCTAACTCATGTGGCTATTCTAGCCAATTCCCCATAAGCGCTTCAAACAGTAGACACAAGAGATAGGACTAGACCCCAGCAAGTCCTAACCCATCCGGGGCCACAAGTCCTAACTCATCAGTACCCAGTATACCATCACTCCAGACAAGCGCGTCACAATTGCTGGCGCACCTGGCCGGTTGGTTGGTCTCCCAGACAGTTTCGATCATTTTCGATCGCTCCGATGGGTCATCCACTGGGTCATCCGATGGATCATGATTGGAGAATGTATTCGTTGAGGACCGTCGACCACGGCACCGGTTTGAGGCAACGACTCGAGCCTTTGGTGATGCCTGGGCAAAACAGCAGGCTCTGAGCCAGAGGAAATGAATGTTGCGCTGACACCCAGGAGTTGAAAGTTTTTGAACTTCTGAACTTACCAAAGAACATGCACTGTAAACTCTGTAAACTTTAATTTGATCACCTTGATCACTTTCGTGTGAAAGCGCCCAGTTCCATCAGTTCTTTCTTTGTGTGGAAGTGCTCGGTCAGGGACCGCCCGAGAACCACATCATTACCGCGATGCCGGAGGTGCGCAGCATAGCGCCCGGAAGCTCAGATGGGCATCTCTGCAGGCTGATGTATTGTCTCAGGATGTTGTAAGCAAATCATCATAAATTTATATGAATTGTATCATTGTATATATATATATACGCGCAACGCCTGGGTTTTGCCCAGGCGTTGCAGCGTAGAGGTTTCCCATTCACAAATAAATGATGTTGCAAATTACCGTAATTCCTATAATATGGGGAAAATAACAAAGGTACTAGGGGCTATTAAACAAACAAGGTGAAAACACCCGAAATTCCTATGGGAAAAACAAACACGGCATAACACTTGAAATTCCTATGCGAAAAACAACAAAGGTACTAGGAAATTTTAAACTCTCAAATCGTGAAACTTAACATTCAATTAGGAAGATCAACAAAGATATTAGGGAATATTAAACTCCCACCCCCGTTAAACCTTAAATTCCTATGGGGAAAACAACAAAGGTACTAGGGACTATATAAAAAAACATGACAAAACACCCGAAATTCCTAGGGGAAAAACAAAAACGGTATTAGGGAATATCAAACTCCCACCCCCGTTAAACTTTACATTCAATTGGGAAGATCAACAAAGATATTAGGGAATATTAAACTCCCACCCCCGTTAAACTTCTACATTCATTGAAGATCTTCAATAAGGGTTTAATTCTCCCACCCCGTTTAAACTTCTACATTCATTGAAGATCTTCAATAAGGGTTTAATTCTCCCACCCCTTTTTAAACTTCTACATTCATTGAAGATCTCCAATAAGGGTTTAATTCTCCCACCCCCGTTAAACTTCTACATTCATTGAAGATCTTCAATAAGGGTTTAATTCTCCCACCCCCGTTAAACTTCTACATTCATTGAAGATCTTCAATAAGGGTTTAATTCTCCCACCCCGTTTAAACTTCTACATTCATTGAAGATCTTCGATAAGGGTTTAATTCTCCCACTCCCGTTAAACTTCTACATTCATTGAAGATCTCCAATAAGGGTTTAATTCTCCCACCCCCGTTAAACTTCTACATTCATTGAAGATCTTCAATAAGGGTTTAATTCTCCCACCCCCGTTAAACTTCTACATTCATTGAAGATCTCCAATAAGGGTTTAATTCTCCCACCCCCGTTAAACTTCTACATTCATTGAAGATCTTCAATAAGGGTTTAATTCTCCCACCCTCGTTAAACTTCTACATTCATTGAAGATCTTCGACGAGGGTTTAATTCTCCCACCCCCGTTAAACTTCTACATTCATTGAAGATCTCCAATAAGGGTTTAATTCTCCCACCCCCGTTAAACTTCTACATTCATTGAAGATCGTCAATAAGGGTTTGATGATGTTGATGATGATGATGATGATGATGATGATCATGTTGATGAACATGATGTTGATGATGATGATAATGATGATGATGATGATGATGATGATGATGATGATGATGATGATGATGATGTGTCTCCCGTCGTCATTGCGGGTTCGGGCAAAACCCAGGCATTTGCCGTATATATATATATATATCATATTATATATCCGGTATTGAAAGGACCGCTTTCCGAAATAACTGAAGTGGTTGATCTGGCCTTATCTCATGGTTCGTTTCTTTCGGAAGCGAACCTTTTGTCCTTTGTCAGCAGGAGAGTCTTATATCGTATGATCAGCATTGATGGCTGATGGCTGCAAGAAAAACGGCTTGCAATTTGCAGATAAGGGCTGATGTTCCCATTCACTGGGCGTGTTGGAGGATTCCCTAGTCATGTTCATTTCGTTGCTACTCCAGCGCTGTTTTGAATAGTACAGTTGCTTTAGAAAAGCAATTGGGCATTGAGTGCAGGTCTTGCAGCGGCAATTTCAGGAATTTATTTGAATTGAACTGAACAGGGCTGCAAAATTTGAAGCAAAGTCCAGGCGACATCCTGGTCAACACCACTTGGTGTTGGCCTCCGATGGTGTCTACGGCTTTATGAACTTCTGGCTGGATTGGAATTCCGAGCTGTGGCGTTTTGTGGCAGCGTTTGAATTCGGTGAAGTTGGCTAGTCTTCTACTGAACCCTCTGAACCCAAACCTGTGTTTCTCACAGTTCTCATCTATGAATCTACTGACAATGCCTCATGTGATCTGAGCGCAGAAGGCCAGAATGGAAGTTTATTACTGCAATGCTGACACGTTGCACGAACAAGTCAACGTTACACTCCCCAAAAATAACATGGAACTGCATGCTATTCCTGAAGTCCCCTAATATGAACCTATGGTACGGTCTCAACTGGACTTTGTTCCCCAGGAAATCATGCAACTAACTTTTTTAGTAAAATCACTCCAAAACTGACATGGAACCCAATGCAGGCCCAAACTGAGCCCAAACTGCACCCTGAAACAGCCAACATGGAATTTGAAAAAGTTATCACAAAGCGATCTGCAACCTTCAAGGGTGTTTTGAAATTTAACCTGGAACCCAAGTGGTTTTTAAGGCGTTCTCCTTGAAAATTCCATGTTAGTGACTTTCAGGCGACCCTACTTTTCACTTCGTACTGCGCTCACGGTATCATGCTTTGAACTTGGGTGGAGCCATCCCAATACCAGTTAAACATGGCACCCAACAAATTGTGGAAAATCAATTGAAAGTTTTCTATGTCTCCGGTAACTGAATGGCTGATGACTCCGGGAACTGGATGGCCTTCCCGGAACTGTTGGTTGAGCACTAAACTTTTTACCTACCAGGTCCAAGGGGTGCCCATTTAGGTTCCAGGTTGGTTTGTTTCGGGGGGCTTGGCCTCCGCAAACATACCGCACTGTTAAGATAAACTCTTTAACTACCAGGTCCAAGGGGTGCCCATTTAGGTTCCAAGTTGGGTTCCAGGTTGGTTTGTTTTGGGGGGGGCTCGGCCTCTGCAAACATACCACAGTGTGTTAAGATAAACTTTTTACCTACCAGGTCCAAGGGGTGCCCATTTAGGTTCCAAGTTGGGTTCCAGGTTGGTTTGTTTCGGGGGGGTCCGGCCTAAATGCAAGTAAATGTTATGCAAAAGAGACCTACCATGTTATTTTTTTCAAAAATCAACTAAATACTTTACGTTTGTATGCTCTACATGCATAATATATACCAGGCATTACATTTCACATTTCTCATAACATAAGTATGTTTAGACAACATAAACCTACCACATATACAACAGAAAATTGCAGACGATAAGAATCTTATCGTCTGTATTATTTTCTGCTGTTTTTTTAAAAAAAATCTCAAGCTTTACATAACATAATCTTACCATTTCTCATTTCACAACGGTGGGAGGACCTCCGGGCCCCAAAGCCCCGGGGACACACAACGGGTTCCAAGTTGGGTTCCAGGTTGACACAACGGGAAACACAACGTTGTGTAACCCCGTTGCTCCCCCGTTGTGGTTACCCCGTGTTACCCCTGGTGAACTGGAGCTTCGCACTCACGGCCTCGAAGGACTTGCAAAAAACGGAAAAACGGCCGTTTTTGGCGAGTCCTTCAAGGCCGTGGGCGCGGAGGTTCACTTCACCAGGGGTAACACGGCGTAACCATAACGAGGTAACCGGGGAAGGCCACACTGGGGAAGCCACAACAACGGGATACTACAACAGGAGGGCCACAACGAGAAAATGGCGGCTAACATGGACCTGTTGGTTGAACACTAAATGGCAGTTTGTGGGGTTCTATGTTAAGATGACAAGTAGCCAAAAAGTGCCCGTAAATATCAAAATTCACCAGCACATACCAACACCAACATGGCACCTACCTGGCACTTATCCCGCTCATGAATTTTAACATGGGTGGACTAACATGGAATCCATTTTTTTTTGCCCCACGTTGGTTTTCAGGCGAGTAATTTCCTTTGTAAAGTCATAAAATTGTCACTGAGACATCCAATCTCTAAGGTTAGGCCGTACTGGATCATCCTAGTTTGTCATGACAGGGGTCGTTGTATGTTGATATGTTCATGCTTTCGCAGGAACGACAGATGAACGACAGAATGTGTAGGACGGTAAGAGATGAGCGTTGTGGGAGCGTTGTAATGCGTTGTAGGCATCGAGGGTTTGCAAAAATCTCAAAGCCTCCTCTCTGAGTCCTGGCCAGGTCCTCGCAAGATGTGGTCTCGCTGCAGTAGACCCCAGACTTTAAACTGAAACTGGTGACATTTGGTGACTGTCAATGCTGTTAATGTATGACTTTCACCATCTTTCACCATTTCACCTGATCATTGGATCTTGGATGACTAGCAGAAATGCAGGTGCGGACGGTAGGATGGAACCTTGCTTGCGTGATGTTGTTAGCCTGTGAGACCTTCAAACCCAGGTGTGTGTCGACAGCCAGCAAGCTGTCTCCTGTCGCCCCCCTGTCTGGCATTAGCCATGCAATTGTGTGCACAGTTTGGCAGCCCAGATTGGTTGGTGTCATCATATTTCAATGGTTGAAATTCTGGAGAGGGTGCCAATTATATATTGTAAATTGGTACGGAAATTACATAGGTATGGTGGATGAGGACGCTGCAGTCACTTACGACGTTTTTTTCTGCGAACCCAACCAGGCATCCTCGTTTCTTTTTGGTTTTAGTTGAAAACTTGGGCCTGATACTACCTGAATCTACCTGATACTTTCTGAAATCTTGGCTCGGCTCAGATTTGCTCAGGCTGTTGCCCGTCGCAGCGATGACAACTGTACCTGCCTAGTGGTGGACCTTCCAAGAGCTGGGCTGCCCAAGCGCCCCAAGCGGCGCAAGCTGCTGGAGGATGCTCTCGCTATTCGACACAGCATTCGACGTGTTCGATAGCCTTGTTCTTTTGTTGCTTCAAGGCTGTTTCTTTGCCTGAAAGCAAGTCTTCCAGTGATCCTATCCTGAAAAGATCACAACTGTCGAAAGAATGCAATCCAAACTAGAGATGGATGCACCCGGAATTAGCAAGACACATTTACTTAGTGACTTATAGTGACTTGGTGCAGAGTCCAGAAGTAATCCACTTAGATATGTTGGTTTGTCAGCGACCTCTCAGTGCATCCTTTGCTTGACCACTGAGGTGGATGGAAAACCAAACGCACCGGCGCCACCGTACGTGACTTAAGTGGCCAGTTTCCCTTCAACCATACATATATAATCATATATATATATGTATACCTAGTGCCTCCATTATCTTCTTTTTTTTGGTATGAGAAAAAATACGCCATTGGGCCGTACCTTAAAAAAAGGTCATTGGATGTCATGATGCAGCATAACCTCATGCGCTGTCACTTGTCTCATGCATGACAAATAGTTCACACTCATACACATATACAAACACGTCACAGGATCTCTACTCCACCATGTTGCAGCACAAGGTGGCACAAATTTGCACTCTTGTCCCAACCTTTTAGGTTAACAAACCCCTCTTGAGGATGTAAGCGGATACAAAGTAAGGATCCAAGATTAGCTTTTGTTCCCATCCAAGGTGACCTTTTATTGGTACCGTAATGTTGTGGTTGTAGATCTTGTTAGGTCGAATTCAGCTATATTCTGCCTATTGAAAGTCGCCTAATCTCTACTCAACTGATCTCAGCGGCCTTTAGTTTTGTGATCGGAAAAGCCCTGAGCCACTTGGTTTCAAGCGAAACTCCAGCTTGCTTGGATGAAACAACCCATGAATGGATACCTACTGAACAATTCCTACTTCAGCTTATATAAAATCTGAAAAGTTGGGGTTTGGAAAAAAAACAATGTTTTCTAAAAAAAACTAGGTTTTTGTTATCAATCAGAAAAAACTATGTTTTTTTTTTTCAACCCTAAAAAAAGTAGGTAAAAGGTTCAGTAGGTATATAAATATAACTATACATATACATATAACTATACATATACATATATAACAATATAAATAACAATATAAATATAAATATAGACATAAATATAATTATAAATATAAATAATTGTATGTATATGTATATGTATATATTATATGTATAATATATATATAGATTTAGATACACGATCCAGAATTGGGGAAAACATGGATTCATACAGTTCATCAGAGACCGTTGTGTAAAGATTAGGTTCTATGATACTCGCAAGATTCTTTTATTCTTGCAGACAAGACAACGACTCTTCTTACCAGATGCTGGTTAGATGCCCTCATCTCACGTCCTGTCACGTCCTGTCACGTCCTGTCACGTCCTGTGTCCGTTTTGTGTTGGCGTTTCCTCTTATCTCAGGCCGTGGCCGAAGGAGATAGAGACCAGGCTTGAAGCTGCGCCGGATCCTGCAAACGCATTCCAGGCTCGAAGGGGCAAGGGAAGGCACAGTCACAATAGAGTCTTGTATCCGGTATACTGTACACATTTGTACACCCTAAAATTATTGGGCAAATCTGAAAGGAATATTTGAAAAATCAGGGAAGATGATGATTAGCCATTGTTTTTGCGGGTACAGCCATTTCAATGGAAGCCACGTAGACTGTGCCTGCTTTGTTGGTTCCTGTGATATGTGAGGCAGCCAGGGGCAAGATGTGGGTTGCCAATGGAGCGTCTTGACCCCAGAGCTGTTTCTCCCCATCCTCCAGAAATCGTAGATTCTAGGGACCTTCAAACTATAGACTACACACCTGGATGCACCTTACAATAAAGATCAATAAAGGTTGACCGGTGCCCGCTGCGCGCCCTACGCCGGAAACTCCAAGCAGTTTCTTCTTTAACGAGGATTTAGTTGATATTTCCTGTGAAGTGTTGCAGTGCAGGTTCCAAGAGTCTGAGGTGACATTGAATGCTCAGCTAGACTATCAAAACTCACAGCAGCACTAGCTGACGTTGACTTGTGGTGAGGCCACCTGCACCCAAGATGGGTGATGAAGATTCTTTCCTTCCAAGGACAAACCTCATTTCAAGAGCCAAGGGTTTCTAAATTCTGTTTCATGTGAAAGTGAAGGCCAGCAGCCAGTTCAAGCGTATGCTTGTAGCATGCACAGCTTTTGAAATTTGTAGGACCAGACCGACAAGACCCCGTAGATCCGGAGACGAGCTGGTGCATTCAAATGGCATCAGGCGTGATGTGTTCGATCCCTTTGCATTACAGATGGTTGCCTTTCTCTTGTTGTTTTTTTTCCAGTTTTCCTACCTTAACCCTGACTGCCTTTCTTCAAACCGCTCAAGACAGTTTTCAGGCCAAAAGAAGTTGTAAAAGAGGTTCCTGCCTCAGTAAAGTTCTGCCGAGCTTCGTTGTTTTTTTTGCTGACTTACTGAAGCATTACCGGAACTGCTTGTTTAGTACTCGAGACGATCGGTCCAAGGACTCAGACCGAACCTCCATTCCGTCATCAACTGCAGCACCGGAGGAGGCGAGATGAGGGACCCCCGCAGTTGTGCCAGTGTAAAGACAGTCAAGGTATGTCAAGGTAGCATTGAATCAATTGATGAAGAGATAGAACTCTTCCAGGACTGGCGATAACTTTGTAGAAATCACCTTCAGAATGTCTCAATTTTCTTGTGGGGCAAGGTGTGTTGGTGTCCATGGTGCTTGAAGCTGAGACAAGGGCCATGCTATTGCCATCGCCATGCTATTGCCATGCCACAATGCCATTGGTACTCCTTGAATTTCCTTAAAACTCCTTTAAAATGCCTTAACAATTCCTTAAAATTTACTTAAAATTCCTTAAAACAATCAGTTTTGATCGGTGAAATCCTGGGGGGACTTGGGAAATGCTGTCGCAACGCATGTCACTTTCTCCCTTTTCTTGATGAGTTTCCTAAGGCTGGGGAATGAATCAAGAAGGCCGTGCTTCATGAAGCATCTCATAGTGATGAAATGTGATGAATGCAAAGTGAACAAAATGCAAATCATTACTTCTGAAATCTTCTGAACTTCACGATGCAATCTTTTGACTTGAAAATATGCATTGCCAGATCAGGTGAGGCGGAGAACCGACTCCTAGGCTCTTTTGAGCAATGGAGGCTCCCGCTCTCCTTGCTTCTGAAAGTGTGAAAGACGCCCCGGGTTTCAAATATATAGACACTTGGTGTTTTCCTGATGGTGTTACCTGCTGATGCAGATTTATCTTCCCTCTAGAACGGACAGTCACTAGCCGAATTGTTCTCTGGTTTGGACTGCTCCCAGGCTTCATATGCACGAGCACCACTTTGACCGACTTGCTGTGGCCTATGCTGGGGACGAGATTGTTCCGTGCTATTGGTGCTGCAGACCGTACGTACCTCAGCCAATGAAAAACTGGCAATACTTACACCGAACTACAGTTGGCAGTCGAGGTGTGTAACAAAGAAGGGCCAGCACAAAAGCTCGTCGACACCCCGGAATTGCCATCTACAATATTAGGCGAGATGATGGAAGTAAGACATTGACTAAGGAATCGCCTTCCCTTCTGGGGCTCCCATGAACGAGTTTGCAGGGAAAATCCCAGCAAACCTGTTCTTCCCGGGCAGGCCAGCTTTGGATGTCTCCATAAGTTGATGGCTAGGCTATGCTTAGCTATGCTATTGATGGGTTGGTCTTGAGAGTTTGTTGACTTATCGTACTTATCTACCTACCCGACCTACCCCGACCTACCCCTTCCCTTTTCCTCCATTCCCAGGCTCGTAGTTCTGAGGGTTCTCAAACCTCCAGCGGAGAATGTCACTGGAGGAGAAGCCAGGCGGGGTTTCAGCCAAAGCAAAGTGCGTCAATGTGCTTTGGACAATACTGTCAGGATCTCTCAGGTATGAGTTGTTTTTTGTCATTTTTGTCATGTCCTGCTTTCAAACAAGTGAAGATACCATGCCTTCCTAGATTCTCTGACAAGAGCTGTAGAAAGCAACGTTTGAACATGTAATGAAGACGTTTGACAAGACTGAGCCGTGAAGGTACCTCAAAGGCACCGGAAAGAAGTCAATGGAGGCCGGGCTTGAGCTTGCACTGGCAACAAGCTCCTGTTTGTTGCAGTTACCAGTGGACTTGAAGAATATGAAGATGATATCCACATACATCCACCATTTTGATCTATTTTGGTCCTTGGTACTCCAGTTATATATATGTATACACATATAGCAAAACAGTATCTTCTTGTTGATGACACGCAATTTGAACAGCTTTTGCCTTCGCTGGAGAATAAGGCCTGCCTTGGATTTGTAGCTGTGCGGGCTGTAGCTCCAGAGCAGATCACTAGGTCAGACCCTGACAAAGACCAGAATGGACATCCCAGGGCATCCCAGGACATCCCAGTTCATCCCAGGACTCTATGACCATTGGACCATGGTGTTTCACTCGCGGAGAGAACCAAAGAGGTCTATGCCTTTTGGCATCCATCGAGTTCAGGTGTGATTTCGCCGGATTTTCGAGATCTTCGAGACTCGCAGAGATCTCAGAGCCACTGTGGGGATCTGCTGAATGTTGTCAGATCTCAGAGCCACTGTGGGGATCTGCTGAATGTTGTCAGATGCATCCGGTGTGTATTGGCCATTCTGACTCAGGAATGACTTGCGTGAGCTCCGGAGGTTCTCTCTCCCAGGCCGGCAGGTCTGAGCAGCTTCAGTTGAGCATGAAATCCCGAACCAGACAGGGCAAGTCAAGACAGTCTTGAGATGTTTGGAATTGCTGTACCACCTTTCTTGGGTTTTGAGGCGATGAAGCTCTGCGGATGGGCTATGAAAGCCAGCCTCCTGTACAACATCGCACATCAACAGGCAGAAGCAACGCAGAAGCAAAGATGGAAAAGGTGAAATGCAAACCCGCTTTTTGATTGCCTCGATTGCCCTTTTGTTGGGCACGATGGGCACGACGTTGTGAGGAAGCGATCGTCATCCGAATTCTCAGGGGCGCGGAACCGAGTTGTAAGCACGTGCACTCCAGCATGGCCCCTGCTTCAAGGAAGACACAGCACAACTCTGTGCTCTGGACACATTTGGCTCAAGAAAAAGAGCTGGGAAAGACGCTTGCTGCTTCAGGCTGCGCGTAAATCGGGCCCCTTGGTTAATCTATCGGGTAGCAGGAGGGTTATGAGCCCAACCGTTGCTGAAGCAGTGGCGTCTGAGGAGGGCTCGATGGAAACTCCACCTTCTGAGGAGAAAGCGGCGAACCATCAACTTGAACTTGGAGGAGAACTTGTGCCTGTGTGGAAAACTTGTGGTGCTGGGACCACCTATGCCAACGAGTTCAACGGACGTGGTACTCGCAAAGCCCGAGGCGGTGAAGCCATTCTGGTCCGATAGGGTTCAGGAAGAAGCGACTTTGGCAAGTTTGCAGCCAACTTTCTTTCTGCTGAAGCTCCTCCGGAGGCTGGTGATCTTTCTGGGGTTGTGGCAGTGAGCCCACAGCGGCCTACGTCCTTAAAGGGTGACATGGTGATCCCCGACGCGAACCTGCAGGGCATGCAAGTGATGAGGGCACTGTACATAGAAAACCAGTGTCTCAAGGATGAAAGGGAATGCCTTAGAGCCTTAGAGGTTTGATGAATAGTGGTGTTCGTCAGGGTGGTCCCTTTGGACAAGGTGAACAACCGGGTCTTGTGCCTTCAGCTTGGGCTGTGGTGACTGAAGGAACTCGTCTCCTAGAAAAAGCCGGGATGAGCTTGCTGCGTAGCTGCCGCAGTGACTGACAAGGTGGTGTCGGCAACCTCCGTCAATGCGATTTGCTCCACTTGTTTGGCAGCCAGGCAGCTGGGTGTGGTGGGCTTTTTGCTGGAGTAGGGGGACCAGCTTACCAATGTGTTCAGCGCACGGAGGTGATTGGTTCGGGTCTACTCATGGTGGAGCTCTCGGTGATGGTCTCCAAACTTTCATTAACTGGGGGCTGCGGTTGGGGCGAACACTGCACTTCAACGACCGATGTCTGAGGGGGGGTAAATGGCCAGAACCAAGCCTTTTTTTTCCCGAGAGCGTCTGAGCGCAGGGTTCTTCCAATAGTGGGGGTCTGTAAAACATCTTCTCATCTTCACATCCTCTCATCTTCACATCCTCTCATCTTCACATCTGCTCATCTTCACACCTTCCCATCTTCACATCTGCTCATCTTCACACCTCTCCCATCTTCACATCTGCTCATCTTCACATCTGCTCACATCTTCATCTTCACATCTGCTCATCTTCACACCTCCCATCTCACATCTGCTCATCTTCACATCTGCTCATCTTCACATCTGCTCATCTCACATCTGCTCATCTTCACACCTCTCTTCACATCTGCTCATCTTCACAGCTCTCATCTTCACATCTGCTCATCTTCACATCTGCTCATCTTCACATCTGCTCATCTTCACATCTGCTCATCTTCACACCTTCCCATCTTCACATCTTCTCATCTTCACATCTGCTCATCTTCACATCTCTTCACATCTGCTCATCTTCACATCTGCTCATCTTCACATCTGCTCATCTTCACATCTGCTCATCTTCACATCTGCTCATCTTCACATCTTCTCATCTTCACACCTGCTCATCTTCACATCTGCTCATCTTCACATCTGCTCATCTTCACACCTTCCCATCTTCTCATCTTCACATCTGCTCATCTTCACATCTGCTCATCTTCACATCTGCTCATCTTCACATCTGCTCATCTTCACATCTGCTCATCTTCACATCTGCTCATCTTCACATCTTCTTATCTTCACACCTGCTCACCTTCTCTCTCACGCCTTCTTTTTATCTTTCTCTCTTAAGGCCGAGGGTGGTGCCGGCGGCGAGTCACGAAACGCCAACCCTTTCGCACGAAATGAGGGTCGATCGGCAAAAACTGAGGTAAAATTGCGATTTGACTTGCCCTGGAGCAACCCTTTCGCACGAAATGAGGGTCGATCGGCAAAAACTGAGGTAAAATTGCGATTTGACTTGCCCCGGAGCAACCCTTTCGCACGAAATGAAGGTCGATCGGCAAAAACTGAGGTAAAATTGCGATTTTACTTGTCCCGGAGCAACCCTTTCGAGCGTCCTGGTGGTGAAGTTCCACCTGCTGCTCCGCTACCACTGGCCTCTGCTGAGACCGCTCCAACATCTTCTGGTGTTGCCGAATCTACAACTGGGTCTATTTCCACTGAGGTGAACTTGGCCCCAAAATCTGAAACTGAAGGGTCTGCTACAGGCACTCGCTGCTGGGACAGAAGAAGCACCACATGTCGAAGCTCCTCAGCCCATCGGGTCTTTTGAGCATGGGGACGCGGTCGTGGCTGATTTTCCGGCAAGCAGAAGGCAGAAGCTGAACCTAGGCCAAGCCACCGCCTGCGGCCCTGCGGCCCAAGGCACCGGCCATTGAAGGTCCTATGGGGGATCTTTCAAAAGCCATTCCAATTGCCGCTCGTCCAAAGGCTGCTTCAAGTGCTGGTCCAGGTGATCATCTTAAGACTACTCCTGCTTAGACTACGGCCATGACTGCGGCCGTCGAATCAATCAATGAATGGTTTGGTGGCGTTGTAGCCACACCATTCCCAATGGAAACACCACCACCACCTCCGAGAAGGAACCGTGGCAGTGCGAATGCCAAGCCCAAGGGGGAGGTCTCTGACACTGCGGCTACTGGAAGTCTCATGGTGAAGGTGTGGAAGTTCCACTTCGCACCAGAGATGACGATGCCACTTCTCACTTCAAGTCCGAAAGCTGCTCAAGGTCATGTGCGTGCTGCTCCGCTACCAGAACGGACTCCTACCAGTGCACATGGTGCTGGTTGTGATGCTCTGCTACCAAAAGATGGTCATGGACGTCCACATGGTGAAGGAGATGCAGCCCCTCTGGCGGTGAGCTGAGTCTATGGCTACTGTTCTTCCAAAGCCACCCGTCAAAATGCCGCGGGTGGTTCCTAAAAGCCCACCTCCAAAAGCGATGCCGGCTGAGATACGAGGTCAAGATGTGAAGCCCTTTCCTACTCCTGACGAAGGTGATGGTGAAGATGGGGGTGATGATGGCCATGAGTCTGAATGTGGGTTTCCCTCGAGAATGAAACCATGGAGAACCTGCTCTATACCGAGCCAGAAGACTGGCTCTGGATGAAATGGGTCGCTCCTTTCCTGATGAGCCGATCCTGAAGGGTCTCCTAAAAGCCTCCTGGTGGAGTTTCTGCTGGCGCTGCAGAGGCAGAGGTGGAGGGATTCTGTCCGCTGAGAATGGCTGAGCACCAGGCAGTCAGGACGAAGCTCTTCGATTGGCGTCCCTATGTCACGCCGTCTGAATGCGTGTGGCTGTTGGTTGGGTGACCGATGGCTTAAAATTTGCGTGCTTCTCCGAGTGACCTGGCTTCCGGATGAAGTACTTGAAGTGCCCCTGGACTGGGCATACGCTCTTTTTCCGCCGACGTGACTTTGTGCTCTGGACACGTTTGGCTCAAGAAAAAGAGTTGGGAAAGGCGTTTGCTGCTTCAGGCTGCGTTAATCTATCGGGTAGCAGGAGGTAAGAACACACTGATCAAAAGCGAATCAAAGGTGTCCCGCGTCGTGCTGCATTCGCAGCTCCGACACTCTGAGGCACAGGCGTCCACAAGCACAACAGGCATCGCCCCTCAATTCAATGAGAGACAGCTCACAGAAACACATATTTTCGAATTATTTTGACAGTTTCAAAACAACATATCCACCACCAGACAATTTCACAACGCATGAAGTAAATTATTGATTTTTTGCCTGTCAGTAACGCTACATCAGCACTGATTCGACATGAGGATACTGGACTTTGTGGCAGGTGCAACCAGAGATGCCAACCAGGGACGGAGGCATCGCAGTTGCCGAAACCATGGTTGTCAGTGTCAGTATCAGCTAAACCCATCTGAGCCCAGCTAGGATCCCGTCGACAGCGTGCGCTTTGAAGGCCGGTTCAATGGAAAGGCAACTGTGTTGAAGGTTTTCTTTGGTCCTGGATTATAGTCTGTCTCTTGTATCCAAAAATCCTCTGCAAAACCACCAGCAAACGATAAGAAACTTCAGAACCTGGCAGCGATGGGCATTGCTGAGACCCTGAAAACCACCTCCAAGTCAATACAGATGTTGCAAGTTGTTGATGGATGACTTTAATTTCCTTGTTCAGTTTGTTCTTTAGTTACTTAGTTGAACCCCCGTGCATGTTCGGGAAATGATACACAGTAGCCGGTGGACTGATGAAGAAAAATCCTTTGCTTGCCTGGCAACACTGCTATCACGTTCCACGATTGGAAGAATCAGCAGTTTCTTGGATGCATGATTATGCATGAAGAGAATCGGATGAATTCATTCCTGCGTTCTCGTGGAAATTGATGGCAGATGATGGTAGCAATTCCGAATCAATTGGCATTAGAATCATTAGATGCTAAACTCACAAGGAAAGTTCTGCTGCAACTCAGTGATTCTCCAATCTGTTGTCATGAGGTGATGTATCATGAGATCTGCAAAATGAGGCAAGCAGATGCAAGCAGAGTCACCGAAAGGGCGGGCCTGTTTGAATGTTTGTGTTGTGTGTTCTCAATGAGCTAGGGTGTGGTCCGTAAAGAGTCTTTCTTCTTTGTTGTGTGTTCTCATTGCAATGAAGCATTTCGACCCTCAGCCACATGAGGATGAAGAAAGATCATTTATGCATATTGTAGAGAATGCATATTGTAGAGATGTCGTATCCCTTTGCCCAAATATACATCCAGCTATGCGAGATGTCCCAGAAATAGTATACATAATACATACATATATATATATAATTATATATATATATTTAGGAAGCACCCAAAGGGAGATAACGGAGCCAATGTGTCAACGCCAACCCAAGCGAGGGCCGTGGAATGGAACAAAGTGTGGTGCCCGGTGGGTTTGGGTGCAAGGTCCGCAAGAGAGAGCGGCTCTTCAGGGTGCTGATGTTAGTGTCGTTTGTTTGTCCAACCAGATAGGATTCTATAGGATGGTGCAGCTCGATTCACCAAAGATCTTAGACGTCTTAGAACGGGCTGTGAAGTGAGCAGAGTTACTGTGCAACATAGTGCAACTGTGTCAGGTTATCGTGGCAATGCAGAAAATTGCATGGCCAGTGTTTCCTTTCTGACCGGGCATGACTGCTTTGGCAGCAAAGAACGCTGACAACTTCATATTGTCAGAAGTGTCAGAAGCAAGTCCATCGATATCTTATTCAGTTTTCGAAACCCTGAGTCACTTGAGATGCGACTGCCAAAAGCCCACTTCAAGCCCCTCCACACGAGGAGATTGGTCTCACAGAATGTTTTGTGCTTACGTGGCTCGAGACTCTTCGAGTCTTATGCGCTCGGTTTCCAGCTGAGATTTTGCAAGTAGCTAGGTGTGGCTCCCAAATCACAAGACTGATCAAACAAGTTGAGGTCTTAGTGAAATGTGGCTTCTTTCAGACTCAGCAATGCAGCAAGATGCCTCTCCTGTTGCTTTGTCAAGTTTGTCAAACCATTTTTGCTCCACACCAAATTTGGGGGTCAAGGCCCTGTGATTGGACTCTATTGCCGACAGTGGTACTCGCGTTGCCCCATTGCCTGCAGAGTTACTTCGAGTAGCAGAAACAGACGGAGTTCGAGTTGCCTTTCCTGCGAGTGGCCGTGTGCCAGTTGCACCGTTGAGGCAACAGGCTCGCCGCAGCGAGTTTTAGATGCCCAAAGATCGATATCGGAGGTGGCGCCGCAAGATTGCGAAAAAAGTTGTTGCACTTGCACCTAAACCTAAAGGTGAGGTTGTCTGTTCTAAGGGCTAGAGATGCCTGAGGTTTGCGCAATGACAACATTCGGCAGTCTTGCAGTCTTGACAATTTCCAAAGGCTTTCTAGTCTTTGAAGGTTCTTTCTGCTACTACTTGCAGACGATTTGTCGGTGTTGATGCATTACGATCTCTCGAAAGCCTGGCTCAAGGGGCCACGGCGCAACGTGTGACGGCTGGGTCTGCAAAGGAGGAAAGTGATCCCGGCAGAAAGTTGCCATGGTAGCACTTCCACTGTCAACATCTGTCAACATGTAAAGTACTGACTGTTATCGTTGCTCTGTTGCTGACCCGTGCCCAACAGGAAGCAGGATGGCCAGACTCATGCTTTCCATGGCTGCGGCCTCTTGTGTTGGTTGGTCCCTTAGCTACTTGGGATAGACTACAGTGACTACAAGATAAGAACAGCTTTGGACCTAATCCAGTTGCAATTTACAAGACATGTAAAGCACAGGGTTGATTTGGCGAACAGGTGCTGGTGCTTTTTTGCTGCCGTCAGCGCAGCCAACGCGGGTCCCCTAGCTAGGCGAATCAAACTCGTTTCATCCCATGCTGCACGTCGTGTATCGCCTTCAGCTCTGAAGCCATGAGCCTAGGACTGATTTAGCACAGTGGACAAGCACAAAACGCTTTGTATCCGCGCAGTCAGGTGCAAATTTGTCGCAATGCGGGACCATTCATTGACTCGACAGACTTTGTGCAGCCTGTTTTTGGTTTTAGAATGGAGAACAGAACCTCGCTGCAATTTGCTGCACCTTTGCATGTGCCTCTGAATCATGTGGTCCTTCTATTCAGGTTCCACGCAGGGACAAAGTGACTTCTCCATGACTCGCGTGCTGGAATCTCAAAGCGTATGATTCAGAAGTTCTGGTAAGATCAAATGCGTAAAGTCGTTCGCACAGTTCGAACATTCCAAGCCAAGCAATGCCTCTTGGTCTTTATGACATCTTCTTGGTCTATTCTAGACTGAGCCATCAATCAGACGCTTCTGCTGAAGTTACACAGACAGCCACAAAACGATTTTGGTGCAGGGGCTATTTCAGAGATGATGCTGCCCAAAGCTGCTGAATTTATATGCAAATTTATATGCAGTGAATCTTGTACCCACAGCCGTTCACTTTGGATCACTGAAGCCCTTCAGCATGAACTGTTTACTACCTGGGTTACTACCCCCATACAGCCCAATATACCAACAATATTCAAAAAATAATATGGCAGAGAAGGGCAACATGAAGGATTCTACTGTCCTTTAGACTTGGCCGCATGGAGATACTACTCTGAATGACAAGGCCCCTGCTGCAGCATTGCATTTGCTTTTTGTTGGATTAATTAGTTGAGGTAGTTGCCAGTTGGTTTATGTACTTTGACTGGATAATAGAGACATATAGAGACAAAGTCCATGCCATGAGCCATTCAGACTTGCAATACGTACCCTCAATCTGATATGTATCACTGCATGGAGGCCATGCGCCTTCGGCTTTATGATCTTCTGGGCGTGAAGCCCGAAGCTTCACACGAGGAGATTCGACGTGCCTACAGGCAGGGATGCGGAGTGAGAATGCAAGGTCCACGCAATGGTCTACACTGGTTGCAAAACGGAAACCAAGCATTGGGAAGACATTTCCGGACAATTTCCAGAAGATTGTTGGAACAGTTGGAACCAGCTGCTTGAGTTGCTTGAGGCGCTTAGCCTTGAAGCTGCATCCCGACAGAGGAGGGGACTCCAAAGCCTTCCAGGACCACTGCAGATGCAGATTGGATCCGATTTGCAGCTTAGCAGGTCCCTGGTGTGTGCCTTTGGCGCCTTCTAGAGCCTGATAGCCTGTTATGGCCATGCGGGTCCAACAAGGGCGCTAGAGCGAGAGGCCAAGTAGAAGAGAGGCGCCTGAATCCACAGGATCCTTTTAGCTTCTTGGTACCACAGCAAACTTGATGCGTGAGAGAAGTGCAGCAGTGGCAGGGTTGGTTTGGCTTATACAGTCTTGGAAGTTGAGCGCCTTCTAGAGCCTAATGGTCTACATGGCCATGTGGGTCCAACAAGGGCGCAAGAGTGATATTCCAGCAACACATGCAAACAAGCTTGGCCTGTATCCAAGCCTGTTCCAGTTGCGTGGCGCCACAGAAAGAGCATCTTTGCCCTTAGTAGGCGGTGGCACTAGAGATAGTTCAAGCCTCGCTTGCCAAGCTTCAGTCTGCAGGAGCTGGCTCATGCCTATGAGGTGCTCTCAAATGAGGCTTGGGCTGGGTAGGGCTTGTTGTCAGCCATGGAAAGCCATGTTTTCTTCATGATGTGTGTTCCTCAACAGTGCAGGAGCGGCGAGCTGCTTACGATCGATTTGGAGACGAGGCACTGCTTCAGTTCTGGAACTGCACAAGCTCACACAACCCTCTGTTCCAAGGGCCCACTAGACGCTCTGTCGCCCTCACCTCGGAGCCGGATGCTGAGATGGGGTTCTGGAAATGGCTTTAAGTTTCAGATGCCGGGAATCGATTGGAATGTCAAGCTTCTTCTCTTTGGTCCTCAAGTCTGCGAAACGGTACGAATTGAGCCTCGGTGTTCTGGCAACCAAGGACATCCTGCAGAAGACATTTTCGACATCCTTGGATCTCGGGGTGGAGGCTCCATTAGTAAAGCAAAGGTCCCGGTCAGATCTTTACAAAGGATAAAACATGATGGAACCTACTTGAGATATCACACAGCAAGTTCTCACCTTGGCCTCGGCCTCGATGCAGCAATCAAATCCGTGTGGTATTGTTTCTTATTCCAAACCTAGGTGTGGACTTGTCGAAAGTAAACACCAGCCAGCGTCCAATTTCAGGAAATCAAGAGTATCATAGCTACTTGCTGGCAATTTTGTTTGCTTAGATTGAAGTTGAGGACTTGTCTACTGCGGAATATTATCAACAAGGGGCACTGAATGAAGTCCACAGACCAAAGCGACCTGTTGAAAGATGTTGAAAGATCTTGAGTACGTCAAGGGACTTGCACAGGTGCTTTTGCAGAGTTTGGATTTGGCCGCTCAAAGCCAACTCAGGCACATGCTTCCCCTGAGTGTGTCCTTTCCTCTTGTAACTCTTGTACAAACCCGTTGCTTTTGCTTGATCTGTGGTGTTGTAGCCTTCCAGATGTCGTTTTATTTTACCTGGCGGTAGAATGTTTCCATCACAATCTTCAAAACGGACTTCTGTTGAACCTTAGTCCACTCCGATGTGATTTGATGTGGTTCATAAAGATGCTCTTGTTCCTTCTCTTTGCATTCAAATTGATGAAACATCAATGGGTTTCCGTGATATGAGACCTTCCATTCAAAGCCCTGTGCAACTTGTTTCATGTTTCTGTTCCAAAGCTGAATGATAGATGCACAGCAACACACACACACAAAAAAAAAACAAGGTGTGAATCAGTAGGTCCTGGGGACTCAACAGGCGCTCAATTCTGCTTGAACAAGTGCCACATTTGAATACATTTGACATATTTGACATATTTGACGTGATTGAGAGCTGAGGGGCGGTGCAGGTTCAAGTGTCAGTGACCTTGGAGGAGGCATACTTCGGCACTTCCCGCCGACTTCGGATCCTCAGGCCGACTCAGCTGTCAATGCTGTCAATGCTGTCACGGTCTCCAGAGATCTCCAGAGATCTCCAGAGATCTCCAGAGATGTCCAGATATGTCCAGGCGTTGCACATGTCACCTGCCAGGACTGTCTCTTGCAGCAGTTGTCAGGGCCAAGGTGCATCAGTCCTTTGTACTGCTTGCCAGGCACGAATCGGTTGTACTCCTTGGTGCTGTGGAGTTGTGCGAAGAATATGATTCGAATGATTCAACCATATTCAACCTGGGCAGCCGCTGGGCACTTCTTGACCACTTGTTCTAATCTGCATGTTTGTGCCAGCCTGAGAATTGAGGCAGTTCACTTTGCATACTCCGGCGCCTTTCAGAAACATGGAATGTGTCAGAATTATCATGGTACCTAAGTCATGTTTCTAGTGTAGAGTATCTTTCTGCTAAAAGCACTTCTTTCAAACAGCACTAGACCAGGGCTCTGGATTTTCAATTCATCGTCGTGCTGGGCCTGGCTTCCTACAGCAGGCCATTCTTTCCTCAGTCTTTTGGCGAGTTGAAACTTTGATGCAAGATCAATTTTCGAATACTGATCACTGCCGATCCTTTCCAGAGGTTATAGCACCTTCCGGCAAAGTGGTACTACAAAAGCGCAAGAAATCCAGTGTTCTATAATTTGCATTCGTTACACTTCCGCAAAATTATAGCGTCTAATCCACTGGCGTCCATTTTCGATGTGCATAATGTATTCTTTATGCTTCCTTTTGTAGTAACAAACTGTTTGTGTTGTTTCCATATCTCTCACAAGGGCCAAAGATCTGAATTTGCAAACTCAGTAGCACTCTACTCCGTGTCAGGTACAAGTCACCTGCCCGCAGTGCCGTGGTCGCGGCTTCGTTGGACAGCCATGTAGCCAGTGTCACGGCAGTGGCACGCGGCAGGACCAAACATGGGGTATCAAGTGTAGTTCTGCAAGAGACTGTGGAGTACTTGACAAGTACGTGCAAACCCAAGCTTGTAAAAAGAAATGAAGATGCTGGTCTGCACCCATTGAATGGAGGATTTGATTTGCGGTGAATGTAAACAAACGAGCTTCGCAATGTTCACCAATGCAAACATACAAGCTGCCAACCTTCATACCCCGAAGATTCTCTGCTCTGGTTGCAGGAAACACAGGCTCGAGGGCGAATGGGTGAGACAACTGTCATCATCCTGAAAACAGGATTCCTTTTTGGTTTGCCCGCTCCACAAAAAAAAAGACGTTCTCAGAATTACATGCAAAGCATTTGTCCCACGGCACAGTGGTCTGCAATCGATATCGTACCTTCCGATATACGTGAGGCTTCAGGCAGAAAAGCAGAGTAACGCTTTTGTAACCTGGTTTCCAAAAAGACCACCTTATGACAGCTCATGTCTCATTGAAATTCATTGAACTCACTGCATCAAATCAAGGGCTTTGTAAGGCAACCTCCAAGGCGTTGGAATCGAAGCCAGGAGCTGTCAGTGGCAATTCCTCCTGGAGTGCGAGATGGGTGGACACCTTAGTTTCAGTATGCTCCAGTATTCTGTGTTACAGTTCCACAGAGTTGTAATTGCACCGTTTGTGTTCATGTATTTATTATCATAAATTCATGATAGTTGTTTGCAAAACAGAGAACCAGCCAAATTCTTGCTTTGCTGCTTGATTCATTGCTACAACAGTGAAGCCACATCATTTTTTTCCGTTTCGCCGAGGGCTCGTGTGTTTTGTTCCGAGGCATTTGCTTCCTCTCTACTCTCTAGATGGCAGGCGTGCGGAGACGAAAGCCCGGCTGTCTCAGCAGAGAAAGTGCCCTTAGGCTGTGACCTGTACAGCTGCAGGAGACTCAACGACATGCTGTGCCTGGTCACGGTGGTCCCGGCTCTTTGCAAGAGAATGTGAACATTAGATAACATTAACATGACCTGCAACACATCAGAGTAGCAGATTTGCCTGGAGAAAAATCTTTCGAGTGAAGGTGAAGCGTCACGCGCGTTTTGAGCGATCTGGTGATGATTTGCACCTGGTTGGCAGCCCAGCAAAGCTCAACAAAGCACAGAAGCGCCTTGAAGTGCCAAGATGCTGAACAAAAACAGCTCTTTCAACACCAATTTGTTTCTCACAGGCCGTAGAGGTCAGTCTCTCCGATGCTTTGCTTCAAGAAGCCATCAGGCAGGGTGATCCTTGGAACCGTTGGCAGTGTAGAAATTCGATGTGCACGTTACCAGATTTTTCGTTTTTGGTCGGCAATATTTTGTGACGCGAGTGGCATCGTGCATGGTTGAAAAGACTCAAAGTGATTGCATGGCGTGACGGACACTTCCACCAATGGGGCATCGATGCATGCAACCATGGATTGGGAGTGGTAGACAAGACGTTTGACACTTTCCCAGGCTCAGGAACTTGCTTACACAGTACTGTACTCGATCAATCTACCTCTCATTGGCTTTTGTTCTGACACAAGTTTCACTGAATTACAATTTGATGCGAGGAACAATATAAGACTACTGACTGCGTGTTGGAGAGACAATTCATAAAACTCCGCGCTGTTGCAACCGTGCCACTGATTCGCATGACCGAAGCCGAAGCTTCAGAAGTCCTCATTGAGTCCGACCTTTGTCGCGTCGAGCACCGAGCCAGGCTACAGCACCTCGATGGCCGTGACATCACGGTGCGACCAGACAAGGTGTGGCATTGACCCGAGCAGCTCACGTTTGGAGATGTTCAGAGCATTTCAGAGCTGCAGTAGTTGAAATTATTCATGGTCAAAATGTGTCAAAACCAGTCCAAGGTCGATTTGTTGAGCAATGTTGAGCAACGTTGAGCAATTTCGGCTCAGTCTCAAACATTGTGGTTTAGCAAGTCTAGCACATCTATATCGACATAGATGACCTCTGTGAGGGCCTTGATTGTCTACTTGGCGCTCTGCGGTCTTGCAGCAGCTCTTCGGGAGCGTGCTGCAGATACTCCGCGTTGCAGCTGTGGCCAGCCCATATTTTCTGGCCTGTGCTATGAAGCCAAAGACGGGTCTCAAACACCCTGTTGCGGGAATTGGGCCAGTGAATGTCCAGCCACAAGCCCATTGATGACACGTGGCTTGGACGTTGAATGCAATTTTCAGCCTTTCCAGCGTGGTCTTTTTGATCCTTATCAACTTGAGAGCAAGTGCCAGAAGGTGGAGTGCCGCAGTGTCTACACAGCCTTGGAACGCATCAAACAACACTATCAAGACTTCAGGCAGAAAAGGTTCAACTTTGGTCTTGTGTCAGGTTATTCCAACAAGGGCAATATGAAATGGTTCAAGAAGTGTGCATGTGGTGAATTCAATGCCGCAAGTCAGCAGTGCAAAGTAAAGGGCAAGTCAAAGGAGAAGCCTTGTTGCACCAGCTTGTCAGACTGTGAAGCCTCAGATGCATGGCCAGTTTTCTACCAGGAGAATGTGGCGGCTCAAAATTTCAGAAATGCAGAGGGCCAGGCAGTGCAAGGTCTTTACCAAGAATGCATTGGAAATTGTCATTTGAGGTATCGAGAACTTTGTATGGAAGACTTGAAGGAGATAGTTCCGGTGGAGGGCAAATCCATCACTCGGCAACAGGCCTTTGTGTTGAAGACCCAGACGGCTGGCCAGCGGCCTGATGCTTACGATCCGAAATACATGGAGCATGCAGCCAGCCTTGATCGGATGCAGCAAAAAGAGAAGGAGGAGCGAGTGGTGCGCCTTTATGCAAAATCCCAAAAGGAGCCTGTTGAGCTGACGGACCTCTCGGCTTGGGATCCAGAGTTCAACACTCAGAGTCAACAGGTGTCATGCTGCAAATGTCAGAAGGCAATGCCAACTATAGGTGCTGCCAAAGTTGCAAGCTTTTGCGAAGCGGCAATCTGTCCCTCCAGTTGTCAGACAGCATGGGCTGGCTTCTGCAGCAAACGCGTTACGACCTGTCGCCCCAGAGTGAAGCGTAGCTGACGCGTGAGAACTGCAATGAATCATGCAAAAAAGGTCGAGCTGCGACTGTACTGCAAGCAGAGTGGAGTCTGTAACACCATTGGGCGTGCTGAGCTGTAATGCGGTCCAGGCAGGAGCAATTTCCAAAGCCTTCACAGTCCTTCTCTCATCCACCTTTATTCCCAGATGAAGGTTTAAAAAATTGTGCCGCTCCTCGCTGAAGGTGCCAAAACCTCATTCACTGCACATTTTGCAGGGTGAGGGCATGCCGAAGGCCTGCGTCCCTGGTGATCAGTGAGACACAGAATGATCGAAGGAAGTTTAGAAGTCAAACTTCCGACAATATGGACAGATGAAAAGCAGAGCAGGGAAGAGGCAGAGAGAAGAGAAAGATTAGAAGAAAGAAGAGTAGAAGAGAAAGAGTAAGAAGAAAGAAGATGCAGATGCGGCTCGCTAAAGCGGCGGGTGCGGAGCCAGCTGGCCAAACGAGAGATGAAAAATTGCACGCCGTTGTGGCGCGAAGCACATTTCGAAGTCAACATGTACAAAACACACCATTCTCGGACCACTTTTGGAAGTTGAGATGTCGAAAAAGTGCACGCCGTTGCGGCGCGAAGCACATTTCCAAGTGAAAATGTCCAAAGCACACCATGGTCGGACCACTTTTGGAAGTTGAGATGTGGAAAAAGTGAACGCCGTTGTGGCGCGAAGCACATATCCAAGTGAAAATGCACAAAACACACCATGGTCGGACCACTTTTGGAAGTTGAGATGTGGAAAACGTGCACGCCGTTGTGGCGCGAAGCACATTTCGAAGTCAAAATGTACAAAACACAACATGTTCGCGCCACTTTTGGATGTTCAGATCTCTAAAAAGTGCACGCCCGTTGTGGCGCGAAGCACATTTTGAAGTCAAAATGTTAAAAACATTTAAAAACACTAGGGGTTCGGACCACTTTTGCAGGTTCAGATGTCGCTTCGCTTCGCTTCACTAGGCTACACTACATTACACTACACTCCACTACACTACAACTACACTACATTACACTACACTACACTCCACAACACTACAAGTTCAACTACACAACTACACTCCACTACGCTACACTACACTACACTCGACTACACTAAATTACACTACACTACACTACATTACACTACACTCCACTACACTACAGTACACTACATTACACTACACTACACCACACTACCTTCCACTGGACTTCATTACAATACATTACACTACACTCCACTACACTACAACTACACAACTACACTGCACTACACTCCACTACACTCCACTACACTAAATTACACTACACTACACTACATTACACTACACTACACTACCTTGCACTACACTTCACTACATTACACTACACTACCCTCCACTACACTACAACTACACAACTACACAACTACACAACTACACAAATTAAGGGGCTACGCCCCCTGCCGCCGACCCCTGGGAGAGAGGGGGAGTTGACACATACGTCACTTCCGGAACCTAGAAGAAAACTATATGGGTACGAGTCAAAATACAAGGTATGGATCAAGGCGCCAAAGCTACACACGATCCATACCCCCCAATCCATACTTTGATCCATACCCTTGATCCATACCCCAGATCCATACCCCTTTCTCGTTGAAGAAAGACTGATGCTGGCCTTAACGATGCTTTTTATCCTAATATATACTGCTTCTGGTCGTCGTACTGCTACTCCCATCGCTACTACCGTTGCTTCTACTGCTGCCTCCACTGCCTCCGCTGCTGCTGCCGCCGCCACTACTAGTGATTATCCTCCCAGGAGCTGCTGCTACTGCTCCTGCTGGTCGTGCTCTCGCTGCTGGTGCTGGCTCATGTTCTCCGTGTGCTTCGGTTGTTGGACAAATGTAACTAGTTGACTAGCTACTCGCAATATTGCAAGTGCACCTTGGAGGCTTGTAAGACCGGTTCTACTTCCACTAGGTGCTTATTGTACTTCTAGTGGTGCTATGACTACAAGTCCTTCTGTTTCTACTTTGCCTGGCACGTGTAGAACTAAAAAAGCATGGTGTCCTGATCCATACCCCGATCCAGACCCGTTCCATGCCTGGTCCATATCCGAACCCAGTCACGCCACAACAAGTGCCAATATGAACGTTGCTTTCTGAACCTACAAGAAAGCTAGCTGTCTGACCTGTCTTCCAGCCGCCAAAGCTCACACACGGCGCGATTGCCATGCCAAAACAGCAGGGTCTTGAGGGACGGACCGGGCCTGCGGGCCACGGCCGCCACGACCTGTCTTCCAGCCGCCAAGGCTCACACAGGGCGCGCTCGCCACACCGAAACAGAAGGGCCCTGAGGGACGGATGGGGCCTGCGGGCCACGGCCCCCACCTGCCTAACGTCGCCCCCTGAACCCACAAGAAAAGCAGCCGTCTGACCTAAAACGGCGCCTCCGCCACAGCCAAACAGCAGGGCCCTGAAGGATGTACCGGGCCTGCAGGCCACCGCACTCAGTGCCTAACGTCGCTTTCTGCACCTACAAGAAAAGTAACTCTCTTTGCTGTCTTCCAGCCGCCAAGGCTCAAACACGGCGCGCTCGCCACACCGAAACAGCAAGGCCCTGAGGGACGGACCGGGCCTGCGGGCCACGGCCCCCACTGCCTAACGTTGCTTTCTGAACCTACAAGAAAGCAAGCTGCCTGACCTGTCTTCCAGCCGCCAAAGCTCATACACGGCGCGATTGCCACACCAAAACAGCACGGTCCTGAGGGACGGACCGGGCCTGCGGGCCACGGCCGCCACGACCTGTCTTCCAGCCGCCAAGGCTCACACAGGGCGCGCTCGCCACACCGAAACAGCAGGGCCCCGAGGGACGGACGGGGCCTGCGGGCCACGGCCCCCACTGCCTAACGTTGCTTTCTGAACCTACAAGAAAAGTAGCTGTCTGACCTAAAACGGCGCCTCCGCCACAGCCAAACAGCAGGGCCCTGAAGGACGGACCGGGCGTGCGAGCCACGGCCGCCACGACCTGTCTTCCAGCCGCCAAGGCTCACACAGGGCGCGCTCGCCACACCGAAACAGCAGGGCCCTGAGGGACGGACGGGGCCTGCGGGCCACGGCCCCCACTGCCTAACGTTGCCTTCTGAATTGCCTAGAAACGAGCTCCAAACTTAGCTTGCCCGTGTCTTCTTGCAGCTGGCGTGCGTCCTGCACAGGTCCGGTCAAAGGACCCCTCCGCAGGGCCCAAACACCATGGCACTGAAGGACGGATCGGGCCCGCAGCCGGCAGCCCACGGTGCCTAACGTTGCTTTCTGAACTGCCTAGAAACTAGCTTCAAACCTTGCTTTTCCCTGCCTTCCTGCACTGCCAACTGCCACTTTGCCTGCGTCATCTTGCAGCTCAAACCTAGCTTTTCCCTGCGTTCCTGCACTGCCAACAGCCAACTTGCCTGCATTGTCTGACAGCTGGCTTTCGTGCGGCACAGCTCCGGTCAAGGGACTTCCTCGCAGGGCTAAAACACCATGGCAGTGAAGGACGGATTGGGCCCGCGGCCCGTAGCCCAGAGTGTCAAACATTACTTTCTGTCGCTCGTTTACTCTTGCTTCTGCATTCTTGCTTCTAACTTCTTGTTTCGTGCTTCTTTCGCTTGCTACGTTCGCTGAGACTGCCTCTCCTTTCTCGCTTCCTTTTTTGGGCTTCTTACTCTGCACCTGGCTTCCCTTTCTGTCCCCCCCTCGCTTGCCCCTCACTTGCACTGCACAACACTTGTTGCTTGTAATCTCTTCTCTGACGCGCTCCCCCTGCTGTCGGCAGGGGTCGGCGGATTACACTCCGCTACACTCCACTACACTCCACTACACGAAATTACACTACACTACACTACGTTACACTAGACTCCACTACACTACACTACACTCCACTACACTAAATTACACTACACTTCACTACATTACGCTACACTACACTCCACTACACTACATTACACTACACTACACTACCTTCCACTACACTTCACTACATTACACTACACTCCACTACACTACAACTACAACTAGACAACTACACAACTACACAACTACACAACTACACAGCTACACTCCACTACACTCCACTACACTCCACTACACTCCATTACACTAAATTACACTACACTACACTACACTACACTACACTACACTACATTCCGCTACGCTCCACTACACCACACTACATTAAACTACACTACATTACAATGAATGACACTGCACCACAGATAGACAGGTAGACAGATAGATAGATAGATAGATAGGGAGATAGATAGGTAGATAGGTAGATAGATAGATAGATAGATAGGGAGATAGATAGACAGACAGACAGATAGATAGGTAGACAGATAGATCAGTAGGTAGGTCGGTAGATAATCAGAGAAAGATAGAGAAACAGAGAGAAAAAGAGAGAAAGAGAGAGAAAGAGTGAAAGAGATCAAGCACCTTTCAGTCCAACAGTGGCTTCGCTCTGCCATCCCTGATTCGCAACAACCAACCTCTCCTATAGGTTTCCTATTTTTGAAACTTCCGCCACCGCCTTGTGCGGTACTACTGGTACCCAGAATGAATGATACAATAAAGTGAAGCCATCTGAAGTCATCTGAAGCCTCTCAAATTCTCAATCCACCTTAGATGTTGCTCGGCAGGTCGGCCCCCAGGAGCGCGGGAATCTTCATCTTCACTTCAAGGTGCGCTTCAATTCAAGGGGCCGGTATGCAACCGTCAGAGACAAGAGCTGTTGCCTTTTCAGTTCATTTGGCTTTCTTCCAGGTGACTTTTCCCGAGAAGCTGGATGAGAAAACTGCAAAGGCTCGTTCTTCAGAAACAAACTCACTTTGCTGTGATTTCATGCAAGGAAGGTAGGTCGGTCAACGTTTGGAACAAACAGATGTCTAGAGCCTACATCCAAACCTTTCAAACGTTGGAAAGACACCTGATAATGTGCGAAGGAGCTGATAGCAGCTTTGCAAAAGCATCTGGATGGAGCTTCCAAGGTGCAGGTGCGAAAAACGGTGTGACTGGTTCCCGAATGCCAGAAACGTCTACCTGAACTCAGGGGATGTATGACTCTATCGAACAATTCGGGAACCCACGGCCAGGGAATCAATATCTATTCCAAGAATCTGGTGTCATCCGGTGTCAGTAGTCTAGTCTCCCGTTGGGCATTGAACTGCGAGAGCATACCCAGCAGCATTTCCCTGATTGAGACACCAAAGAAAGACAGCTTTCAGGTTTCATGCGGCCTTTTGCCTTTTCAGACCTGCTTTTGCCCCCAGTTCAAAGTTTTTGGTTGAGGGATGTTCATTCCAATCTGCCAAGATGTGGTGTCTGTGGCTAGCTGCTGTTGCCAGGCGAAATCGCGTTTGTAGAGTCAGCTATCTTGCGAGCATACAAAGCCAATGCTTCCAACATTCGACATTCGGCGAAGCCAAAATCTTGCTGCCGCCCTGCTGATTGCAAGGCAAACCAGGAAAGTCTCTTTGGACGCAGTCTCTGTAATACGGGTTTGTCTCAAAATCGGGAATACCCCAAAAAACGTACATTTTTGTTTTAATATGCCTATACAGTATGTTCCTGATTTTTGAGACACCCTCAATATACACATAATATCCTTTTCAATTTCGGATTTCCTTGATCCTTTGCACTGAGGTCATTGGTCTTGGGTGGACTTCTGGCCGTCCTGGCAAGAATTGAACAAGTAGCTTGTCATTGTGCACAGATCTCGAGAAGAGTGCCTGAGTACTTTTATATTGTGGGATGTCCCGCGACCGCCTGGCATGTCATACAGGGGGATGCCCAACAACCACCCCACACGACACACAGGACCCCCTGAGCCCGACCGAAGGCTCTTTTGTGCCAAAGTAAAAACATCAGCTGCTGCGCACTCTGCCTGTGAAACCACAGGTCATGAGCCCAAGCTCGCGTCGTCTGGGATAAGAGCTATGTCAAGATCCTTGGATGGTGGACTAGGACACAGAGAAGGAGATGACCGGGGTCAAGGACATCGTGACGATCATGGCCAAGGCAGCTAAATTTAAATTCGTTCTGGAGTCAAGGATTCCAGGACGAGTTCAGGCTGGAACAAGCAGAGTGCACGGCCAAGCTGGGAGCCACTCGAAAACCAAGGAGGATCTCAGGGTGACACAGTTGGGTCGCAATCAGCAGCACAATGTGAGCGCTGGATGGCCCACGGGTGTTGCGACGGGAGGACTTCAAAGGAGTCCAAGCGATGGAGTTCTACGAGATTCCAGGCTGCAGTCACTGCTGGAGACCGGTATGGTGGAAAGTGGAACGAATGCGAGGCGAAGAGAAGCCAGCACGGGACTACTTGATGGACGTCAAGTGGTGGACAAGTACGGGGCTTTGGACAAGTTCAAGGCTCTGGCGCCGACCAGCTCGATGGACTTCGAGACCGCGATGGAAGAGGACTGGGTTTTGGACAAGTCCAAGGCTCCGGAACGGGACTACTTGATGGACTTCAAGCGCGTGACAGCAGAGTTCGAGGTCGAGGTTTTGAACAAGTTATCAAGGACCTGGACAAGAGCTACCTCCAGCAAGAGTTCAACGTGCAGGCGAAGAAGGACGTGATGAGTTGTGGAGCGAGCCATAGAGAAGTCAATGGATGAGGAATTGGTGCAACAAGTAGCAAAGCTGCAGGAGAATGAAGCCTTGGAGCGGCAGGGAACGCGTGCACCTGAAGGAGTACGACAAACAAGAAAGGACAACCTAAGTGGGTGGCAGTGGCAACAGAAGCCACACCACCAGCGGCAAGGAGAATACACCGGGTGCCACCGGGAACTCCACCAATGCCGGATCTGCCTTTCATGGGATCTCTTAGGAACTTGGAGAAGGAAGGATGGGACTTGGATTTGGACCTTCACCGCGTCCTCTACCAAGGCTGTGGAGGATTTCGAGATGGACGAGATCGGCAAGGGCATGGTTGTGGACTCCAACAAGGCCGGGGAGACCGACAAGAAGATGTCCGACGAGGAGGTGGGCCTCAACGTTAGCAGATTTTCTGGGGTGTGTGGAACAAGGTGCAACCCCACGGAGATGGACACCGACCTCTAGCTGGACAAATGCATGGAGGAGGTGCTCCGACAAAGAGGGATGGTAAAGGGGAAGGGCCGGTTTTGGACCGTGCAGGAGTACCAGGGCGACAGAGGAGGTGGCACAGGAGCCTGAGGAGTCACTCCCAACGATTTTGGAAGGCTCCACCACGACTCCTGGATTTACGATGACGTCGAGCTTTACGCCAGAAACTATGCCAACGACAGCACAGGCGACTATGGGGACCGTAGTGGAGGACCAAACTATGGACACTACTGCGGATGGACCATCGGGATCAACGTTGCCTCCTATGATGCCAAGCTCGACACCACTGGCGCTGTGGGGACAACCACAGCACCAACCATGGGAGAAAGGGAACCAGAAGCAGAGCCTCGCCAGATGACACAGCCCTGGCAAGTGATGGTCAAGAAGAGTGATGGCTGGTACACCGTGGCCTACGACCCAAACAGTGTGCTGGACCTGGAGGACCAGCTGATCGAATGTGCCGCGAGAACCACAAACAAGACTGGAGGCTTCACAAATGGTGCTGAGGATCCCTCGACCTGAAGGATATGACAGTGGAGATGATGGAGGAGCACCACTTCGTCCCGTTCACAGGCCACAGCGCCACCATCATGATGGGATCAGGCGATCCAAATAGACCACCGCCACCTCCACCTCTTCCGGAACAACAACCAGGAGGGAAATGCTTCAAAGGAGCCCCAATGTCTGGCAAGGGCTTTAAGGGCCATCCTGGCCAGTTTCAGCAATGTGGAGCTGGAGCTGGAAAGGGACCAATGCGCATGGTCCAATGCTGCTACAACAAGATATGGCAGCTCAGGGAATGATGCAATCGGGGGGCTCAGCGTCCGATGATTGATGATGCGTGGATCCTGCTGTGCCGTCCCCTTCAAGGGAGGCCAGGAGTAGATTACCCCATCGAGCTGACTTGAGGCCACCAGGGCCAGTGGCCACTGGGAGACCCTGCTTGAAAGGCCAAGCTCATCATGCCAACAACCGCAAGCTCTACACCTCAACCGAGCTCTATGTCCAAGGGAATGACTATGGCACCGCTGACAACTATAACAGGCACGAGCCCTATGCCCAAACCAAGCTCTACAAGTTTGCCGAGCGCTTCTTCCGGTACGAGCACTACAGGCTGAAAGGTTTTCTTCATCGACCACGGTGACAAGAACCACGGTGATGCGCCCCAGGAGACTGGATGTGGACGAAGCGGGCATGACGCCTGAGGAGAGGCTCGGCGCGAGCCGGATCAGTTCTTGGCAGCACTTGAGGCGTATGACAGGTCAGCCCCTCTTGTGGTTCTACCACTGGAAGATCGAGCTGGAGCTGGTGTGGAGACGGCTGAGAACTACGACCGACCTGGGGGAAGTGATGGTGGCTCTGGACCTCATTCGTCCGTGATAGATGAGGATGATGACCATCCCAGGTTCAAAGTGTTCAAACGTGATGGAACTGGAGAAGGGCCCGGGTCTACAACCTGAACAAGGCCAACTGAGAGCCGGGATAAGAGCTTTGGGCCTGACGGCCTATAGCTACGTTGATGGCAGTCCACGTGTGTACCAAATGGGGGTACAGCGTAGTGTGCAAAGGTTTGGACACGCGAAGACCGTCCAAAGGGGGAGTGTGGAATGTCTAACAACCATCTGACATGACACACAGGACCTCCTGAGCCCAACCGAAGGCTCTTTTGTGCCCAAGTAAAAAACATCAGCTGCTCCGCATTCTGCCTGTGAACCCCCACGCGCACATACACACACACACATAATCACATATATATATATATTTTTTTTTATACACACATAGATCTTCTAGTGTAGACCGCGCTGTTTGTGACCCTTTTATTCAACTCATTCAATGTAGATATCCTGAAAGGAGTTTGGCAGATTTGAAATGGGCTGAACAAAGCATAAACTGAATCACCGCAGACATCCACAAGCAACGCAAAAAGACACATTTTGCTACAACAGACACGTTCTTAGGAGATCTTCTTGTTATCTGTGGTTCTTAGTACGAGTTATGGGCAAAATTTACAAATGCTCGGCTGGGACCCAATCTCTGTGGGTGTCTTTGGCCTCCGTATGTTGGACCTCATCTATCTTACTTTCGCACGGTGGGAGTTGTCGCAGAAGAATGTCCGGGCGGGCAGGATATTTTGTGACTCGTTTGAAAAGCCGATCAGTTTCCAGTGGCAGTGGTCAAGTGGTTTCAAAAGAAACTTTAGTTTTAGAAGCATTCTGCAAGCAGGTTTTGCTTTTCATTGTGGCCAGGCAGCAGCTGCTTGCCGCAGGCAAACTCGACAACAGCTCACCAGGCAGACGGGGTGCAGTTGAGTTCACTGATCTTGAGATTTTGGGGAAGTCAATGAGTAGACTTCCTCTATCTTGAGAATTGAACAGATTTGTATTGAAAATTGCCAATTTGTTTCGGATTTCTGTCGACGAGTTCTTGTGAATGAATTTTATTTTCTACGCCGCAATCGCAAACCGTATCTTCAGGTCAGTTTCGATGAAGGACATTGATGCCCTGACGTCACCTGGCTGCAAAGTTCATCTCCTTGCAGAAGGGTCGAACCTGGCTGGCCTTGATCCAAGCCGATGGCACTGAGCAGATTGTTGGAGCTGGAAGTTGCTGCGAGTGTTATTTGTTCTGCCTTTGACAGGCTGCAGACTAAGTGTCCTAACTTGAATTTTTCATCCGACACAGAGCGTTCCATGCTTTGGGCAAGGATAGACGACTTGCCATCATACTGGAGGACCAGCGGAGCTAGTCGAGCATTAAGAAGTCTTCAAAAAGCAGTGTGGGCGTCTTCAAAACGCTGATTCCAGAGAGCTTTGTACAGTTTGGAACTCGAAGCTGTTGCAACACTTTGGCACCCAAGTTTCATTGTTCATTTTGTTCTGCATTCAACCTACCCTTGTGGTGGACTTCATGAATGAATGAGTATACACAACATCCCAGAATTAAGCTATCTCTCAGGCATTGGAATACTTGACAATGCAATGACAATGCTATATTATATAATGCTTATCACATAATGCTTATCACGGGCCATGTGCAGGCCCAAAGTTAGCATCGGAATGGCACGAAGGTTCAACGAGGTAAAGGCACGGCCTGAGAAGTTGGCGCAGCACAGTGCTTGGAAGTGACGTTTTTGGCCCACGTTTCATCCCCGAAAAAGGTTCGAATGCGCACAGTCAGCTTTGATGAGCTTTGTCTTTTTCAAGGATTTCACTTGTTCTTGCAATCTTGTCCTCTAGTTCCCTTGCGTCATCAAATTATGGAGATGGTGAAGTAGCCAAGAGATTACTGGCTGTTGGATTTCAAGGAGGCATTTCGTCTTCCGATTCGTCTTTTGCCCACTCAACCACATCAACTCACATCAGGGCATTGAGAGGCAACTTGAGAAGACCTTTTTCGTCTGGAGCTTGGCAGGCTTTGCTGTGAGATTTCCTTAGAGATTGAGATCTGATTCACTGAGCGTCCTGAAGACTCACTGCATGCTGAGTTGATGGCCTTCAACCGGGACCACATGTTGGGCAGAGAGGTTGAGGAGCTTGCTGTGATGCAAATGCTTGGACCTGCTTGATAAGTGCAAAAAGCTCTAAACCTGCAAAAACAGCAAGCAGTTTTAATTTAACATGTTTTAACACCAAATCATCCAATGATGAAGAGTTGTTCGTTGAAGTTGGGAGTACCTGCAGATACCTGCACTGCTTCTGATGGATCGGAACCCTTTCGGAAGAATTTTGAACAGGCACTCAACCACAGTCACTTCTGTCCCGACTTCTTGGCTTACATCCTTGGACATCCTTGGATTCAGGAAGCACGGGGCCTTTTCCCTCCAACGTGCAAAGTGCGTGTCCTCAAGAACAACTTGGTGAGGCGAGCAGTTCCGTACCTTCATAAGCTGCAGTTGCTCTTGCTACATTGCTACTTGCTACATTAGCATTTGAGACCCAAAAAGATGACCTGAGTTTGCACAATGTAAGAGGTGCATAATTGTGCACAATGATATATTTTTGTTTACCAAGCCTTTCTGCGTCGTGAGACCTTTCTACCGGTGTCCACGGTCCTTGCCCAACAGGAAAGCCATGGAAGGCACCGAGTGGGCACAGCTTGGCCCACTCTTGGTCGGATCCAACATGTTGATGCCTGAGAGATCCTGAAGCATTTGTGGCGTATCTTGGGCCTTGATCTTTTCAGGTTTCCAAGTGTTTCCTTTTTTGGCGCTTCAGGTTTGTCTTCGTGGAGAGTGACAGGGACCTCAAGCCTGCGATTCAGGTTGGTGCTGGGCACAAAAGTTGGACTGAACCCTTTTTGGTACCTTTATTTCTCAGTTCCAAATGAGCAATGCATTGGCGAGTGCTTTACTGATGCAGTGAACAGGGAGACCATCTCCTCAAACAGGACTCAAGTTTGGCTCAGTCCTCACAGGCGTACCTCAAAATGGAGAAAGCCTTCGACCGTACTGCAGCTTGACAGTTTTTTAACATTTTTCTGGATTTTGACACGCTTTATTCTTCGGCCTCTTCAATATATTTATATAGCCTCTTCAAGAATTTAAGTCTTGCGGATGCTCCTCACTGGAGTCTGGGCACATCAAGTCCTTTTCGAAGTCCTTCTAGTGGCACATTGACATGTTTCGGACACATCCCTGTCACAGGACAGGCAAATCCTGGCAACTGCAGTCCTTTGTCACATTCTGCTAGCTGAGGCCACACTTGATGCTATTAAGGAGGCGAGAGGTGATGTGAGAGCCACAGACTGCCAGGCATTTATCTTCACGGGGTCCGTCTTTGGGAGGGGTAGGGGGTTTCAACGGCAAGTTGTGCTAACAAAGTTGTTGAGAGTCCACCATCAGATTCGAGAACTGACAGTCTGTCGCATCTGTTCACAATAACATGAAAGCACATTTCTGCAATAAGGACCTGACCTACGACATGAAGCCTCTTGTGGGCGGTATCATGTCCGAAGAATGGTTTGCCTGGCGTGTTGCTCTACGAATCTTTTCACCTCATCTATACCATGTTTGACAGCTGAAAGTGCAATTCGCAGTCTCAGCAAATGTTTTCGTATTCTGGGGACCTTTGTGTTGTCCAAAGTGGCCAGGGATGTGCTCGATGGTCCTGGTGTTTTGAAGCTCAAGGACCTGCAGGGAAAACTGCAGCGAACAGACTCAGCAAAGACAGCGGAGATGCAAAGCTGCTAGCAAAATCTTGAGATGGCTTTGAATATCAAAGCTAGTCAATGTATGTATGTATGTATGTATGTATGTATGTATGTATGTATGTATGTAATGTATGTATGTATGTATGTATGTAATGTATGTAATGTATGTAATGTATGTAATGTATGTAATGTATGTAATGTATGTAATGTATGTAATGTATGTAATGTATGTATGTATGTATGTATGTATGTATGTATGTATGTATACAGATACATAGTTACACATATGTATATATTATTCTTGGAATTGAACACTGAAGCAGACAGAATGCAGCAAGGCAACTCCACATTCTTGCAGGACTTCCCCACCAAGACCGAGCTCATTGGCCAGATTGCAGGTCCTTGATGGATGGGATTGGTTGGGGATGGTTTTGACACACTGCCTGCAGTCCAGGATTTGTAGAGGACGCCGGAATTCTAGATTGCTGTAGACTGGCCAAGGTCTGCTGATTGCTGAAGTTTATAGCAAGGTTGGTTTAGTACGATTCCGTAGCTTGAAGCGATGCTCCAGTGCCAGCTATGCTGTAGTGCTGTAGGTATCTTGGTCCAACTGGCGACATCCAATGCCAGGCAGCATCAAGCAGGTCACCACCAAGCTGGCGGTGGGTATCAGACAGGCACGCTGTGTCAGCATTGTGACACCATTACGCACATATAATATCATATACCAGAATGTACATATAAATATATATTGTATTTATTATATGTGATATAATATGATAATATTACATGATATATAATATAAGAAAATATAAAATCATTTTATATCATATTATATCATTTTAAATTGTATTATACTACATTATATCATATTCTATTGCATTACACTATATGACATTATATTACATTTTATGACATTATAAAATGTAGTATATTATACTATGTTATATTATATTTTATTTTATATTATTTATTATATTATATTATATTATATTATATTATATATTATATTATATTATATGATAATTATATAACATTTTATATTATATTATATTATATTTATACTATATTATATTTATATTATATTATATTATGTTATATTTATACTATATTATATTTATATTATACTATATTTATACTATATTATATTATATTTTATATTTTATACTATAATATATGATATAATATATCTTGTTATATTAGATTATATTATATTATATGTTATATTATATTTTATTTTATATTATACTATATTATATTATATTATATTATATTATATGTTACATTACATTATATTATATTACATTATATGGTTATATTATTTTATATTATATCATATATTATATATATTATATATATATTAAATATTAAACATTATATTTTATATATTATATATTATTTATTCTATATAATATTATATATTATATTATAGATTATATATATGATAAAATATATTGTAATTAACATTAAACATGATATAATATAATATAATTATGTAGTCAAATATTGTTTTTATTTTTTTTTAATTTTATATACTATATTATATAATACAATATACTATATATTATATATTTTACATTGTATATTAAAAATTAAATATTATGAAGTATATACTATCTGGTATATATGATACGTATCATTTCTATTATATTATGTTATATTATATTAAATTATATTATATTAATATTATATGGCTTTAAATTATATATAATACTATATTATATTTTATTTTATATTATATATTTTATTATATATTATATTTTATTATGTATTATATTCTATTATATTAGATATTATATATATTTTTTTATTATATTATATATATTATGTATATTATATTATATATATTATATATTATATATATTATATATATTATATATATTATATATATTATATATATATTATATTATATATATTATATATTATATATTTTATATTATATATTATATATATTATATTATATATATATTATATATATTAGATATATTATATATATATTATATATTATATATTATACTTTATATATATTATAGATTATATATTATACTTTATATATTTTATATATTTTATATTATATATCATATATTATATATCATATATAATATATAAATATATTATATATGATATATTATATATATCATATATACAATATTTATATAATATTATATATGATATATTATTTAGTATTCACTCTATTTTATATTTTATTATATATATAATATATAATATATAATATATAATATATAATATATAATATATAAAATATAGTATATAAAATATAATATATAATATATAATATATAAATATATAATATATAGTATATAATATACAATATTTAATATTTAATATATAATGTATAATATATAATATAATATATATATGATATATATGATATATTATATATAATATATAATTTATAATATATAATATATAATATATCATATATAATATATGATATATTATATATTATATACAAAAGACGTACATGATATATATGTATATATATATATAGATACATCCATATATTTTTTTGCATGTCGGTCTTAACTTGAGATTTGTGCAGGTCCCAACCAAGCTGGCGATCGGCATCAAGGCAACAGTGGAGAAGGGAGAAGAGGAAGGAAAAAGCTCGGCACTTGGTCTCCGACAAATGTGGCACTATGGCATCTGCAGGAGTGGGTTCTTGACGGACCTGAATGGCTAGATTTTCTTGAGCCTTTATTGGTTTTGAAGCTACGTTGGCTCAGCACAAATGGTAGAGTTCTTGGTCGCAAGCATAGATTCTCAAAATCCTCACAAGTCCTTCACCAAGCAAAGGTGCCTTGAAAATCTGAGGATGTCCTCTTTTTCCAGCTTAAGCAGTAGTGAAGACAGCATGAGATCCTGATAGCGCTTGTCGTCCATCGCTGCCCAGAATCTTGCAATGGCGCCTGCACTGCCATCCGATGGTGTTACGGACCGATCGTTTTTTCAGTGCATGACATTGTTACTGGCATCTGGGATTGGAAGTGGTGTTTTGGTGTCCCTCGGCTCAAATTTGGAAGTCTGCACGCGCTGCTCCACAGTTTTGGAAGATGTAGAAGTCAGATATGGCAAACGATGCCCTGCGCAGGGAGTGTTTGAGTTGTGAAAGCAGACAAGGATTCCTAGAGCGATGGCGTCTGTCGGCTATATTCCAGCTGCTCTGTACTTCTTCACTGGAGCACTGGTATCCGGTGCGACGACCTGGGTTCTATCTTTGGCTGTGCTTGAGGAGACCAAAACGAGCCAAAGCTTGTGTTGAAGGGTTTACAGTCAGTAATCAGTGGTTGAAGCACGCACCGCACATACACGCATTCGCCAGACCAGGTCAGGTCATTCTGCCTCCTTGCTAGACCACAAGCTTAAGGCACACATCAGGGACCCCGTGCATATGCAATGCCTCTTTTAGAAGGCCTCTTGTCACATTGATGTTTTTTTTTTTAAATATAGCAAATCAGAAGAATCAACATGTTGTGCAATCACCGTTGGAGGAATCATCCCAGACATACCACACTATCCACATGGGGGTGACCGGGTGTGACCGGGTGTGACCGGGTGACCTGCATAATCCTTTTTTCTCCCTCCTTTGCTACTTGATGGCCCAGAGTGCCAGGTCGAGACAGGACAGTGGTGGAGAGTGTCCAAGCTCATCCAACACAAAGAAACAGGTAAGTACACACACACACACGAACATACATCGGATCACAATGCGTTTCAAGATGTTACGAATACATCAGGGTCCGACAATTGTCGCTAAAGAAAGCTGCAGCATAGTGTGGGAACATGCATGCTGCTTGGCATGGCGCTAGTGAACATGTTGGTTGTAGACTATATAGTTATCAAGTTATCAAAGAGAGTTTGGACCCAGTACAGTAGCCAGAAAAACAAATGCTGCCAGCGTACTCAGTTTAGAATCAATTCATGTCGTCACCCCCGAGCCTTGCTTATGGATTTGCGCATGTTGGCAGTTCCTTTGAGAGGTTCGACGTATTTGGCTGGAAGAGGATTTGAAGCACCCATTGCATTCGAGCGACCATGATCGCAAGCATCAAATGCATTTGGCGTTGGAACGACACGCATCTCCCACCACATGGAAAGATATGCAACAGCCTGATGATCCTCTGTCACCAATGACACCAAGAATAGGACGCAGCACATCTTTCAGAGACTTAGTCACGAGAGTGGGACCCTCCTACGGTGATCTGGTGGAGCGATCCACGCCAGCCTGTCCATGGGTTTCTTCGACTTTGGACTGCGTGCTCTTTTTGCACAACACACTAGCTCTGACCGTGTATTTCCTTTTTGTGTCTGAATCCTATGAGCGATTGGGCTGGATGTGGCCACTGAACCGCTTTGGTGAGCCATATACCCATGTCTTGACGATCTTCTGGACAGCTGTTTGGGGTTGCTGGCTGAGCACCTTCCCAACAGTAGGGGCACTAGCGAGGCTGGCAGGATGGTGTGTCGGATGTCGACTTGGGGTATGATTGAGTATGATGAGTATGAGATTGAAAGCCTCAAATTACTAACCGCTAGCTGCCACAAAAAGTGCCACTACATGCCACTACATGCCACTACATGCCAGTAGCTGCCAAAACAATTTGGACTGCTTTGGCCAAGCATTTTGTTTGTCAAACACCTTGTGACCTGCTCAGATTGGCAAATGCGAGTCCCTTTGTGCTGTGGCTCATGATGCCACATGGCTGCAAAATTAGTTGACAGAATCTCGAGACATACAAACAATTTGCTTGTGACATTCACAATCTATCATAATCCATCATAATCCATCATGGTCCAAAGATTTGCCTCAGGGGTTCAATCTGGTTCGAATGGCTGTTCAATTGGCACGAGCAAGACGAGCAGCAAGAACCTGAAGCCTACGTTGAAGATTGGCTTGAGAGATCTCCGTCAGTGTCGCTTGGCTTTAAAGCCGCTTTCCACACCTTTCCACACCTTTCCACACCTTTCCACACCTTTCCACACCTTTCCACACCTTTCCATGCTGATGTCTATTTGTAAGCGGCAGTAGGATCTTGCACTTTCTTCGGTGCTGCCACCTCGTTTCAAGCTTTTCTCAGGCTGTGTATTGCAGTCCCAGGCTCAGCAGCTGAACTTCTGTGACTTCTGTGACTTTGGTTTGTTGATGTTTGTCAATTGAGATTTAATTCATTTTAAGTCACTATCTGATCATATCTGAATCTATCCGCAGAAGGACTCATTTTTGATAGTTGCAACCATGCCTTGGTGCATTGAGGACGCCCTAAGTCACTAAGTGGCTAAGTGGCTGAGGTCTTTGCCTCTTTTTGGCACACCAATTGCGTTGCCATCGCTCGTGAATTTCAGAATCCGACGAAGCTTCGGCTTTTTGTGTTGTCGTTTACGTCGGCGTTCTTGCTTGGACTTCTCTACTACTTCTTGGCTTTTGGAGGCTACTTCACATTTGGCGCCAAACTTCTTACGGCCCCAAACATTGTGACGCTGTATGGTCAGGACGATCCGTTCTTTACTGCAGTGCGTTTGGGGCTTGCCTTTTCCCTGACCATTGCCATCCCGCTGAATGTTTTCCCAATCCGAGAGTCAGTGGAGAACATGCAGCTTTTCAGAAAGCTGCCAACAGCAGTTCATCGACGACTTCTAGGACCTGCAACAGATCCAAAAATGCGGGCCACTCGAGAGCATGAGATTGTAGGTGTGACTCTCGTTCTTATTCCAATGATACTCTCCCTCGCCTTCCGCAATGTGGTTCAGCTGATTACAATCCTTGGAGGCTCATTAGTTAGCCTAATGATGATTGTGTTCCCATGTATCGTTCTTCGCATGATTTGTTCATCTTCGCTTGTATGGTGGACGACTCTGATGTTTGGCATCAGTTTCGCAACATTTTTGGCGCTTGCCTCATGGGGCTTCGTGGGTGAGAAAGTGTAGCCCACAGCCTGCGAGCTGCACATATTCGAAATCATTCGACCACATCTATACAGAGACAAAAAGGAGTTTTCTCATGTCTTGAACAGCAGGTGCAGCATGGTGCAGCATGGTGCAGCTACGTTTGGATTTCTTTAAAGGACTTTGCATACTGAGGGTGTTCTTTGACTGTGCGAAACAACAGAGGATAAGTTGTGACCACCCAGGTACTGTTGGGGAAGTGGCCTGATCAATTCTCTGAGAGCTTTCAGCTTGACGCAACTCTGCGAGCAAGACGGATCAAGTCAACATCGAAGGCACTGCAGTTCATAGACAGACGTTAATTATCATCAATTTACATCCTGGTTGAATCAGTCGCACATCGCCAAAGGAAGTAAACTAAGTAAGTAAACGCTAGCAAGACATTCTGACATCACTCCTTGCCACATTATGCCTTAGTGTATCTTAGTGTCATGACTTCCTCCAGTTCGATGCAGAAAAGATTCGAGCTGCGCCACTTTGGGAGGGCTATACGGCTATACGGGATTTGGGAGATGTGATGAGATGTCTGGGTTCTTCCGGCACCTTGCGAGCATTCTTTTTTGCTTGGACTTGCAATGGGGAGATCTTCGCCGCTGCCTTTCAGTTGCTTTATTTTTAGAAAACTTCACAGGTGTCTAGAGCTGTTGATGTCGTTCCTCGCTGGAGCGAAGGCCAGTCTTGTTTTTCCTTTGTTCGGAAATGATTTCATGCTTGATCCATTGGATGAGTGTCAACGATCAAGATTTACAATATCTGGTCAAGAGGTTCGGACCAGGACAGACAAGTCACAAGTCTTTGGATTCAGTTTCTAAGTTGACCCGTTCCAACAATAGTGGCCTGTTGAAAACACAAAAGGTAGATTTGGGAGATTGGAGTCAAGTGAAAAGAGTCACCAACCTTGATTGTGGGTCCAGGCGACAGTGTGTGCCTCAAATTCTCTAGCCACATACCTTTAGATGCACATTCTGTTGTTCGAGTACTGGCTGGATTTTGCATCACATCCCTTTGTGGCGCTGACATTTGAGTGAAAGGTAGACCAAGACCTTGATTCTGTAGGAAGCTTCGAACGAATGGAACGCTAGCAAGCACGTAGGGTAAAAGACTGATACTCATTTCGCAAAATGTTGGGAAGGAGAATGACCATTGCAATTCGTTCAACAAAGAACATGTGCTGTGGCTGTCCTGAGCATGTCAAGTCGGACACACTGACATGGCATTGTAATTAAACAACGTTCATCGGTCGCAAACTTGGGACGGCGACTCGAATAGGTGCCTTGATTTCATTGTGTTTTGAAGCACTCCTTATTTTGTTTCGATAGTTTTGAAATGTTTTGAAAGTCCACTAAGTCCACCTGGAAAATCTATTGCTTAGGCCTGCCGAAGACTGCCTGGAGCCCCAGACACGTTGCGTTGGTTTGGTTCTGTGGTTCTCTGAGCCAGTAGATGATCATTTCGGGGTCTCTGCTGATGAATCCAGTAAGCATAAGAAAGCTATGCTTGTGTACATTGTATACGAGAAACGTGGAGCACCCCGACGGATGTCAGAGATCTGGCAGTTCCCTTCACCATGATTTTGGGTGGCTGAGGGCCAGATCGCAGCAGCTGGCTGTCCCGGGTGCTACATCCCAGAACTGCGCTGACAAGATCTGACAAGTGTATTCCCAGCGGCGCACCATTTCGCTGCCAAGCCCGAACACCGGCACGAAGCCGGAACTTCTTGGAACCCGTGAACCAAAGCTGAGACAATTTGAAGGATGTTGAAGCTGCATGCACTTACAAATGCAAATCTGTTTCACTCCGACAGGCCTCTCAAACAAACGATTTTGTTATTTAATTTCTGCTTTTCAAAAAATCAATTGGAGCTGTTTTCATTTGTTATCTGACCCATTTTGGTTCAAGCATTTTTGGCTCATCCGGCGTCGGACGAAGATTTGTTCTTGGCGACTCTTGAAGACATGGCCGACGAGGTTGTGGCACTTGTGGTGGACAACGGCAGTGGAATGTGCAAGGCTGGCTTTGCCGGTGATGATGCACCAAGATCGGTTTTCCCCTCCATCGTGGGACGACCAAAGATGCCCACGATAATGATTGGCACGGATACGAAGGACACGTACATCGGAGACGATGCTCAGGGTCGAAGGGGAGTGTTGGCTCTAAAGTATCCCATTGAGCACGGAATTGTCACGAACTGGGATGACATGGAAAAGATTTGGTCCCATTGCTTCTACAATGAGCTGCGGGTTTCGCCAGAGGAGCACCCTGTGCTTTTGACGGAGGCACCCTTGAACCCAAAGGCGAACCGTGAACGCATGACTCAAATCATGTTCGAGACATTCAACGTGCCTGCCATGTACGTTTCCATCCAAGCGGTTCTCTCACTCTATTCCTCTGGCCGAACCACTGGTATCGTCCTGGACAGTGGCGATGGAGTTTCCCACACAGTTCCGATCTATGAAGGATATGCATTACCTCATGCAGTTCAACGGCTTGACTTAGCTGGCCGTGATCTAACTGAGTACTTGATGCTGATCATGATGGAGAGTGGGTATGCCTTCACGACAACTGCAGAGCGGGAGATCGCCCGAGATGTGAAAGAAAAGTTATGTTTTGTGGCCATTGACTTTGACAGTGAGTTGAAAGCTGCAATGACGAGCGACGATGGTAGAAAAACATATGAACTGCCTGACGGGAACATCATCTCGTTGCACACGGAGCGCTTTCGCTGCCCAGAAGTTCTCTTCCAACCAAGCTTACTTGGGAAAGAGGCGATGGGGATCCATGACACCACATTTCAGTCCGTGATGAAGCTGGATGGACTATATCCATAGACCTATATAGATTTTCAGTGTTTTTTTTGCTTAGATGGTTTTACTGTTTTACTACATAAGCCACTCAAAGTTAACAATGTTAACTCTTGATAGGGGATGGCATCCTGTCCGGTTCAAAACCGAGGAAGTGCGATGTCGACATACGTCGGGACCTCTTCTCCAACGTTGTGCTCTCGGGTGGTTCTACGATGTTGCCAGGCATTGGTGAGCGCATGACCAAGGAGCTTAGTGCTCTTGCACCTTCCACTGTGAGGATCAAGGTGATTACTCCGCCTGAAAGGAAATACAGCGTTTGGATCGGTGGTTCCATCCTTTCATCCCTCACCACCTTCCAACAGATGTGGATTTCCAAGGCAGAATACGATGAGGCAGGCCCCACCATTGTCCATCGCAAGTGCATGTGATTTTCGGGATCTTTTCTGATCCTGATGAAATTTTGCTGCCGTAGCACTTTGAGGCTTTCATGTTGCAGAGGGGCAGCTTAAGCTCTCAGGTTCATGGAACCTCTCATGGTGGTTTCAGCACTGTACAGTCAAGCGGAAGGACCCAGAGATGGGAAGTTCCAGAGGAAAGAAGACACGCCGCATGATGACGGTGCCACATTCTACATTATTCTCCAAGATCCATAATTGAATTCCATCCATCAGATATCCACCATATCTAGCACTTTCTGTGCAGGATCTTGGACAATGCGTTAGGGTGGACGACAGTGGACGACTACTTGACTGCCGTTGGCTGCAACCTTTGAGGCCAATGCCTTCGGCGCCGAATTTTCTCCACGATGACAGTCTCCACCACCCAGTGAACAGCCAGGTGACAGTGACACGACGTTGACACATGGTTTTCAAATGTACAGATGTCTGTGTCTGGGAGGTCTGGAGACATTTCCAGCTATTGATCAGTAGGCAGACATTTTCATGATTTTCAAATGTTTTTGATTGAATCGGCCCTGCGATCTGAGGCAGAAATGTCATCCGCGTGGGGACCAGCCAAGCTAGAGCAGGCTGGCTTTGCTTGTGACCTTGCTTGTGACATTGAGCTTGGTTGACTTCGATTATCAACCCCTAAGGTCCTAAGGGAGAAAGATGGGTGAACCTCGACGCTTTCAACTTTTGGAAGATACTTACACAACTACACAACTGCCACACAATGAGCATCTAGCACAGCAACACAGCCTTTTATTTCCGGGACTCCTTTGCAGCTAGTCATTGGAGATACAAACATCAAAAAGCAGAAACAGTCCTGAGCAACTCCACTACTTCAGGTAGAAACAGTCCCAGTCACAGCCTACTGCTGGGAACCTGCAGTGACATTGCACCAGCACTGTTTTGGATCCATGGTTCCTTGCAGCAGGCCAACAGCCTTCAGCGTCTTAGTGATGCTATTGCGCGATGGCCTTTATTGGTGGCAGTGTGTGGATGCCAAAGTGTCTGAGTCAGATATAGTGAGAAAGAGAAACAATGAGAATATTGGGGATCGCACGGTCAAGGAACTGAGCAAAGCGCAAAAGTATCATACAGTACCATACGTTTACCAGTAGTACCGCACAAGGCGGTGGCGGAAGTTTCAAACATAGGAAACCTATAGGAGAGCTTGGTTGTTGTGAATCACGGATGGCAGAGCGAAGCCACTGATGGACCGAAAGGTGGTTGAGGTCTCCTCTCTTTCTCTGTCTTTCTCTCTCTTTCTCTCTCTTTCTCTCGCTTTCTCTCTCTTTCTCTCTCTTTCTCTGACTATCTACCTACCTGCCTATTTATCTATCTATGTATCTATCTATCTCTCTCTCTCTCTCTCTCGCTCTCTACCTA